CTCACATGCATGCACACAAATAAGACAAACTTAAATACAATGCCACGGCCTCTTTCTTCCATTAGGGCAAGAAGAAAGGAGTATATGGCAGCCTCTAGTTGTTTTCCAGCTTCTTTTATTCCTATTTTCTGTGTAAGTCTGAGTGCCTGTGTGTGTGCCTGTGCCTGTGTGTGCGCTGTGTCCCATAAGGGCCAGAAGAGGATGTCAAATCCCCTGTGACTGCAGTCTTTAGAGAAGTTGTGAGCTGCCCATTTGCATGCTAGAAACTGAACTCAGGTTCACTACAAGGTCAGCAAGTGCTCTTAAGCTGTCATTCCAGCCTCTTGTTTCCCAGTTTCTAATCTATAAATGGTTTATTTCAGTGATACTGAGCCTTAAGCATACTAGGCAAGCCCTACCATTAGGTTATATACCCAACCTCAAAAATCAAAACCCTAAAACCTGGTATTGCTTGGTTTCTTCCTTTAGGCTCGATTTTACTCTCCAGCTACCATATTTATTGATGAGATAGATTCCATTTGTAGTCGCCGAGGGACTTCTGAAGAGCATGAAGCAAGCCGAAGGGTGAAAGCTGAGCTGCTGGTTCAAATGGATGGTACACACGTCTGTGCAGAGATTGACTTGGGATGGGAGCTGACTGTGTGTGCTCTTCCTGTCAGTCAAGCTGGCTGTAGTGCTAGTCCAGCACATTCAGTATGTGCTAGCACTCAGAAGGATGAGGGGGCAGGCATTTAGGGCATAGAGATGAGTAGTAGTGAATGGATATTCCTGAATGGATGACAAGTCAGAAATAATGGCATCCACATACCACTCTTCGGCATGCATATATATATGATTCCTTATTTTTAGCCACACAACAAGTAGACATAAGATGCAAACAGACCGCGCTTAGAGGTTATGTATGTATTTGGAATACTTTGGAAATGTATTCACAGTTTATGTGTATGAGTGTTCATTTTCGTGTATGTTTGTGCATCTTGTGCATACCTGGTGCCAGAGGAGGCCAGAAGAGGGTGAGCTGCCACATGGTGCTGGGCATTGAACTCAGGTCCTTTGGAAAAGCAACCAGTGCTCTTAACCACTGAGGTATCTCTCCAGCCTAATAGTTTTGTTTTTGGTTTTGTTTTTTTTTGGCCTGTAGACCAGGGTGACCTCAGACTCACAGAGATTTGCTTGCCTCTGCCTCCCAAGTGCTAAGATTTAAGGAATCCACCACCATGCCCTTGATTTTTTTTTTTTTTTTTAAATAACTAATAAGCTGAGCTGGTGTTTTCATTAAATCCCATGTAAGTCATATTTTGTGTACCACAAAACTACATTTCCCTTGGATCACATACTCACAGGTGTCTTAGGGAGGCTGGGAAACTACCCTGCTGGGACCATTGTGTAAGATTTCACAGTCTGTAAAGCACTGAGCTTTATTTCATGAACTCAGTAACTTTTATTCTCCTGCCTTTTAAGGTGTTGGAGGTGCCTCAGAAAACGATGACCCTTCCAAAATGGTTATGGTTCTGGCAGCTACGAATTTTCCCTGGGACATAGATGAGGCTTTACGACGGCGTCTTGAAAAAAGAATCTACATTCCTTTACCATCAGGTATCATGACTTTTAAGGGAGCTTCAGTTATCAAGGGTTTATATTTTAAATTGATAGGAGCCTTCCTTGAGGAGGCAAATGTACACTTTCCTGTGTGACTGTTTGGCTATGTCTAGAATCTGGAAGTCTTGATAACTTGATGAGCACACTTGCTCCAAGAATTGGAAAACAATTCCTAATACTTCGTGGCCTTAACGCAGACATGGTGGCTTATGCCTATAAATCCTAGTGCGTTTATGCCGAGGCCAGCCTGAGCTACACTGTGAGACCATTTCAGGAAGTAGTTTTTCGTTTGAGCGAAATTGACACTGTTCTATTCCCATTGAAGGCTTACATTTTAAAATGTTTCTCCCGTTAGCAAAAGGCAGGGAAGAACTGTTGAGAATAAGCCTTCGAGAGCTGGAATTGGCTGATGATGTTAACCTTGCAAGCATAGCAGAAAACATGGAAGGTTACTCGGGTGCGGACATTACCAATGTATGCAGGTGTGTATTTCTCTCATTTTTTTGTAAGCATAAACTTCAGGTGTAAGTATTTATATTAAGGCAGATGCCCTACACTGGCCAGGCGATGTAGCTCATTTATAGAGCGTTTGCCTAGCATGTGCCAGCCCTGAGTTTTGTCCCAAGACTACAAGGACCCCACCTCCACACTATATTTATGGTTACAGTTACAGTTTATGGTTAGAGTTAGCGTTAACAGGTGTTGGCAAGGTGTCTGCATTTGATGGCCCATAGGCCATTTGAAAACTGTAAATTCAAGAAGCATCGCTTCCCTGCAGTGTTAGATAGGAAATGACTGACGCATATTTAATGTACTCACAGGCTAATACTGTAGTCTTGTTTCCAGTCACCGTGTCCTAAATGCCACTCTTGGTACAGCTGGCTCAACAAGGCGTGGCCCTGATTTGTCTGTCTCAGGGACTTGACTGCTAAGCTTCCTCATTGCTAAGTGAGCACGTTACATAGATCGTGTGGGTCAGAGATTGTGTTTACTGCCTCTGTACATACATAGTGACTGCCATAAGGAACTTGGTCAGAGAAAGAAATTACACAAAGCCCTAGATTTGGTCCTTGCACCCCATGGCGCTGAGCTGTGGTGGGGCAGGGCTATAATCCTGGCATCAGGCAGGCATGGAGGTGGGAGAATTGTGAGTATAAGGTCATCCTCAGCCACACTGTCAGTTTGAGGCAGTCTAGGCCAATGAAACTCTTAAGAGTGTAGCCCTGGCTGTCCCAGAACTCACTGTAGACCAGGCTGTCTCTCCATGTGTGTACCACCATTGCCCAGCTAATAAAAGACATTCTTGATGTGAATGAAGTCTTTGTAATAGAAGGGGAAAGGGAAAATGTGCCTGACCTGATTTTCCTTATATGCAGAAAATGTTTAATTTTCTGTCTAACATTCCATTCTGTCTTCATGGAGAATACCTATTCTTTATTGAACATATAAGGAGATAAAATTGGAAGCTTATTATATCTTGGACTGTATATTCAACATTTATTACTTGAATTAATTAGTATACTTATAGAGATTTCACTGCTAAAAAAACAATTCAAATAAGGCCTAGTTTTCCAATGAAAGGTGCAGTGCAGTATTAATATATATGATGGATATATATGTGTGTGTATATATATATATATATATATATATATATATATATATATATGATATTAGAGAATTTGGCATTTTTTTTTTTTTAAATTCAATTAAAGTAACATTTTGGGCTTTTTAAAACTTAAAACCTAGGGATGCATCCTTGATGGCCATGAGAAGGCGTATTGAGGGTCTAACTCCAGAAGAAATCCGAAACCTTTCAAGAGAAGAAATGCATATGCCTACCACCATGGAGGATTTTGAAATGGCTTTAAAGAAGGTTTCTAAGTCGGTATCAGCTGCAGACATTGAAAGATACGAGAAATGGATAGTTGAGTTTGGATCATGCTAACTTCGTACAATGTAAACTGAGAAATCTGCCTTAAGTCTTTGAAAAATAATTAAATGTAGTATTTCACTGCACTGAGTGCTATATTTTTTTAAACTTTCATAATGGTGTGATTTTTAAATTCTTTCTGGTTCTGAATAAAGTCATTGTACCTTATTTTAACTTAGCACTGGCTTGAGTTTTCTAAGTACAGCATCTCTCCCCCCTCTCTGCTGTTCTGTGGTAATGGCTGATAGCTAGTAACCACTCTAAAACTGCAGCTAACTAAAGCATAGCCAGATTAGTGTGCCATGCTAGCTTCTCTTCCCTTTCTGTTGGGGTAGGAATAGGATTCTGGGGGCTGGAGATATGCCTCAGTGGTTAAGTGCATACTGCTCTTGAAAAAGCTTCAAGGGGATACAGTGGCTCTGGGATCCTTGAACTTGCACGGATGTGCACATACTCAGAAGCACATGCACATGTGCTCACACAACACACACACACACATCAAAATTAAAACAATCCAGTTACTGCTAGGGGATATAGCTCATTGCTAGGGTTCTTGCATGGCATGCATGAAGCCTGAGATTTGGTCTCCAACTCTGCATACAACCAAGCAGAGTGTGACCTGCCTGTAATTCCATCATGTAGGAGAATGCAAGATTGAGGTTATGCTTAAGTACTTGGTAAGTCTGAGACCAGCCTGGACTACCTACAAAAAATAGCACTAACCAGATTAAACGTCACTGTCCCACTTGTCACCCTCCATCCCCTCCTCTCCAGTGGGCTTGGAGCTGTAGCTTAGTAGTGTAGTCCTTTCCTGGCATTCATGGGTTCAAGGTCCTACTATTGGTAGGGAGAATAAAAAAGAAAGCAAAACATCAAGCTTGGGCCATGTTTTACAACCAGAAACCCGAGACAGTCCCACTGAAAGTTCTATCGAGGTGTCCCTTCTTGTCACTGCTTGGGCTTACAGATGTGCTCTACCATACCTGGCTTTCAGAACTTTTAATGAAAAAGAATAAAAACCACATGGAGTAAGTGTGCTAGATAACATTGTTCAAATCGGCCAGTCTGTGCATCGCTATAGACAAGATGAAACATGCTTACACACAGAAGGCTGAGGCTTAATTCCATGAAGATGACGGCTTCTTTGAAAGGCTGAGCTTCAGTCAGTCAGTCATGTGAATGAAAGCTACACCACACCACTATGTAGTGAGTGCTTCTCACTTGGATAAACTTAACCCATGCAGCTACCCTCGTATCTTATTAATGCAGAGAGGAGGGTTGCAGAGATAGCTGGTTAAAATGCTTCCTGCTCTTCCAGACCACCCACGTGTGGTTCTCAGTGCCCACGTCAGGCAGCTCACGGCCACTGACTCCAGCTGCAGGGATTCAATGTCTTCTTTCGGGCCTCAACAGGCATGTGCACTCATGCACCCAGCACCCCTCCCATGCACATAATTAAAAATAAAGCAACTCTTTTAAAAAAGTTTATTGTAGAGTGAGAATGTGTGTCACTGCTACTTGAAACCCTGGTGCAGTCAAGGTAAGCAGTTTTGGCACAAACACAGACATGATACACTTGAGTGATTTCATGCCAAGTCCTGTGTGTGACACAAAGGCACATTGTACTGAGTTAAAAAAAAAAAAGTGTTAAATTCTTCCATTTTTAAATTATAATTTCATAAAGTGCTTCTTATAACCCCTTACAATAGTAATCAACAGACAGTTTCTGCAGCAAAGACACCTGGAAGCTACTAGCACGTGGTGCTGTTTTACCCTTTATCATTCTGGTTGTTTTGAAGTCATATCTTTTCCACTTTCTCCTTAATAATTCATCTCTTGAACAGACAGTCCATGTGTGGGACGAGGTGAACTCTAACTTGGCACAGTGAAGGTCAATTTTCAGACAGTCTTGGGAATTTTGCAATTTCTACATACAAACTGATTAATGATTTAAATAAAGCAGTATTCAAATGGCAAGTCTGCAGACAATAGACTAATTCAGAGTCCATGATTGGAGATGGTGTTTTAAATACACGTTTTATCTTTAAGTTTTTCTTCTGTTTTGTCAGAACCATCTGGGTATAAGATGATAGGTACCACAGGCATGGCATTCATTTTATCCACGTGCAGAATTCCTCTGAAATACAAGGTAAGTCATTATTGCCAGTGTCACACACCTCCAGGAGGCTGATGTACACCACCACCACTTCAAGATGACGTCCACCTTCCCTCTCACGGGTTATGAAGCTTGTACAAACTCTTGGCCCTAAGTTCTCTTTAACCAAACACACTGAGCACTAGAAGGGAACGAGATCATTGCCCGATCCTACAGGAAGGAAAGCGAACAGCTGCAGGGCTCATTACCCTAGACTGGGCAGCTTTCTAGTCGATGTCTCTTTGTCATTAGAATCTGTGTGACTATTGAACCCAAGATCCCAAGTTAGCATTTCTAAGATCCTTCCATTGAAGCCGCAACAGAGGCCTTAATCCGCAAGCTGACCATCCATGCAGTGCTCAGACTCTGCTGCTCTAAGTCAGTCAGTCTGGCATACAGCAGCAGTTTTCAAGGTGCATGTGCCATTTTATTATATGCTGCAGGTTTCATTCACGTTGGGTGCATGTGCTGATGCTCATGACTCTCTCTGCCAGCTGTTGAGCACAGGGATGAGGCAAAGGCTGATGACTGAATTAAGTTTACTTAGCAAATCAGAAGCAAAGGGACCTTCAAACTTTTAGAGAGTTATCAAGCACACCAGACCCATGGATGACGAAGCCCCTCACCTGTGCAAAGTGTAAGGCAGGTATGGTAGCCCACACCTAGAATCCCAATGCTCATGAGGCACAAGCTAGAGCCATTCATGAATTCAGAGCCAGCCTGGTCTACGTATGGAGACCCATCTAGAAACACGCAACAAAATGAGCAGGTAGGTACTCAAGGCTGAAGTATGGCTGCACCCATAAACTAAGCAGTCCTCAGGCCATTAGGATTAACAGGTAACTCATGCTCCAAACCTGTTCCTGCTCAACAAGACCTACTGGACCTGCCATTCACAGGGTCGTCGTGCCTAGAGCCAGCACTGTACTTTGGCAGTGCAGTCAGTGTCTTAATGGCTAACGGACGGTGCTGCTATCTAATAGTGGGCCGTGGGGGCATCTCTACAGGCTCTCTGCCTCTTGCCCTCAGAATGCTGTGGCCGCTTAACCCTGTCCTGGCTATACAGCAACATGAGCTGTAACGTGAGAGCTGAGAGTCGGGTGTAACTTAGAGCAGGGTGGGATGAAAGGGCCTGTTTGCCAGTGGCCACAACGTGCCCAATGAAATCAAGGCCACTCAGGCTTGCTGGCACACATCTGTAATCCCAGCACCTGGGAGGCAGGAGGGTCAGGAGTCCAAAGCCATCCTCAGCGACCTGGCTAAGTTCGGGGCCAGCCTGGGCTACATGTGACCCTGCCCCATACAAGCAGCAGAGGACATCTGGTGCCTTTGCCCCTGTGCCTCGTGTTGCTGCGGTCAAGAGCCTGCTGGGCTCCTGACACTGACTGATGCTGTGGAGGTGAAAAGGGGCGATGGTTTCACTGACCCCGTGTTCCCATTCATTTCCTGCTCCACGGAGACTAAGCAACAATTCTGATCATGGTTTACTCTCTCAAACTATTGTAATCTCAAATAATACATAAATGTATTTTAATTCCATTACAGTTGGAAAATGGTTTTTTTCCCCCTCCCATTGTCCTATCCTAATTTTATACTTTCAAATATATAAAATAAGTGAATATAACTTTGTTTCCCCCCCCCCCAAGACAGTGTTTCTCTGTGTAGCCCTGGCTGTCCTGAAACTCATTTTGTAGACCAGACTGGTCTTGAACTCACAGTGATCTGCCTGTCTTTGCCTCCTGAGTGCTGGGAGTAAAGGTGTGTGCCACCACTATAACTTACTTTTGAATAGCTAAGATTAATAATGTCTCAAAAACATGAAGCACTTACTTGTTCTCAGAAACTGGGAAAAGCACCTTTAACACGGCTAGGACTCCTGCTGCACCCAAAACTCCAACTACCATGACGTTGAGGAACATGAAGAACACGGGGAACACAGTGCCCCAGAACCGACAGAGTGCTTTCCTGAGATTCTCCATCCACTGGCACATTACCTGGGGAGAGGGTTTTCATCAGAAAGGCCAGCTCCAGCACCTAAAATTTAACATTTCTGTCTTCTTTTGAGACGGGGGTCTTTCTCTGTAGACCAGGCTGGCCTGGAACTCACAGAGCTCCGCCTGCCTCTGCCTCCCAAGTGCTGGGATTAGAAGCGTGTGCCACCATAATGTTTTGGGTTTGGGTGACAGAAAACCTGTGTTTTGATTATAGTGGTGTTACGTGTGTCAAAGCTAACTCAAAAGATGAAATAAAAATTAAGAAAGAAAGAAGCCTGGGTGGGGTAAACAGCTCAAAAGTGAATGCTTTCCCCTACTTTCACAGTGATGGGATAGAGTGACTGTGGGACATATATAACATGGCAACAAAATTTCATTTTATAATTGTTTTACAATCTTAAAAATTATGTTTCCGAGTCACAGGTGCAAAATCCCGCTGTCTAACTACTAACTAAGGGAATATTAATGCTGACAGACTAGTGAGAACTGTCCAGAGTTGCAGGCAGAGAGGACAAGAGAGGGAGAAACAAACTCCACAACTTTTAGAACGGGCAAGGGGCACTGCTCCGGAAATGCCTCATGTTTTAAGAGCAAGAAGGGAACCAAATATGGGCACTGATGATGTGGGCAATGAAGACAGTCTCCTCTGAGGCTGACGGGCTGGAGATATCACAGTGCAAGCTGCCCAACTAATCCAGACTCCAGCAACCCCAAATCAACAGTCTGACCTTCAGTGAGAATCACTGCACAGAGCTTACCCATTTGAGAGCAGACACTACTTTCAGAACTGTATCTGTAGATGGATGTAACATAAATGTGCTCAGTGGATCCCAGTGTGGTTTCACTGGAATACCCCTCTGATTCCTCACACCGTGATGGGATACTCGGCTGTGCCTGACAGCCTGAGCACAGGTTAACCCGGGACAGAGGCTAGAAGTTGGGAACTGACCCAGGGTTGCAGAACTAGAAACAGAAGATCAGTTTCAATCCACACCCAGTCACTGTGCAGGACCTTGAGGGTGCACACCGTCTGCGTGTGTACAAGGTGAGAGTTGAATGGAGATTTGAGAAGGAACTGTGGGACTCTATCATTAAATGCAGTCTATAAGAACACCTTGAATACCACATTAAGGTCAAATTAACGTCCGGCAGGGTAGCTCAGTGAGTAACTTGTGGCCAAGCCTCATAACTTGAGTATGGTTCCTGAGGCCAACTCGGCGAAAGGAGAGGTCAACGCCCGAGAGTTGTCCTCGGATAAGCACGTACATGCACAGGCACACACAGGGAGGGTAAATGTCAGACAACAACAGAAACCCAGAGAGAGCCAGGGGTGCTGACTTACGCCTATAGTACCAGCACTGAGGAGATGGATGCAGGAAGATCATTATGAGCTGGAGGTCAGCCTAGGCTACAAACTGAAAAAAAAAAAAAAAAAAAGGCAAAAACTAAAAACTGGAAAAAAAAAAAAAAAAGCAAAAACTAAAAACAGCAAAAAAAAAAAAAAAAGAAAGACACACAATCACTAAAAACGATCCACTACTTTAATCTTTATGATGTCTACCTCATTTTAAGGACACATTTATGTTCTTTAACATAAACAGAACTGCTATGGTAATACCACATAAAGATAATATCAACGTCGGGCGGTGGTGGCATGTGCCTTTAGTCCCAGCACTCGGGAGGCAGAGGCAGGAGGATCTCTGTGAGTTCCAGGCCAGTCTGCTTTACAGAGTGAGCTGAAAAACACCCAGGACTGTTTCACAATGTCTGGAAGAGAAAACAAAAACAAAGAAAAAAAGAAAACACCAAGTATTAGACTTACCTTGTATGAAGATGGGGGCTCGGCTCTGAGAGGAGTCTCAGGCAGTTTGCCAGGTAACGCATTTCCCTCCACGGTGGTTTCTACACTCCCGATGAGGTAGTGGCTGGTGGTCTGCAATGAAGGAACGCTTCCTACTGAAGAGGGAAGAACAAAGTTATCAAATGCCAGCAGCGAGCTGGCACCCTCTGCAAGTTCTAAGAGAGCACACCAAGAATACTTGTGATTACTTTCCTAACATACTTCACCACGAGAGAACAAAAGTTTTATTTACTTGTTTACTCAGGGGGCTACAGAAGTTACGGTTTTGTCACACAGTCTAAATTTTCAGTCTATGGGCACGGCACACTCCGTAACCCAGGCTACCCTGGTCAACCTATCACATTACAGACCAGGCTGGGCTACAGGGTAAAACCCTATTGAAAGGAAAACAGACAGAAAGGAAGGAAGGAAGGAAGGAAGGAAGGAAGGAAGGAAGGAAGGAAGGAAGGAAGGAAAGAAGGAAGGAAGGAAAGGAAGGGAGGGAGGAAGGGAGGGAAGAAGGAAGGACAGACAGACAATAAAATGTAAAAGTTCTACCAGGTGTAATGATCTACAGATTAAATTCCAGGACAGCCAGAGCTACACAGAGAAACCCAGTCTTTAAAAAAAAAACCAACAAAACAATAATGAAAATGTTCTGCTTTGGCCTCAAGGAAGTCTATTTCTGAATACATTAAATAAGAAAAGATATATAGCAGCATTTGTACGTATTGTCAAAAGTGCTTAAGAGCATATAGGGGACTAGAGGGCTGGCCTGGTCAGGAGTGCCAGCTGCTCTTCAGGAAGACATGAGTTCAGGAGTTCAGTTCCCAGCATCCACCTTGTGACTCCAGCTCTAGGGATCTGACTCTTTCATGGCCTCTAGAAGTGTACACACACACACACACACACACACACACACACACACACACACACAAATAAAAATCTTTTTTTTTTTTAATTATATAAGGCAAGCTTGGCAGCGGCTCATACCTTTAATAGCAGCCAACACTTGGAAGGCAGAGACAGGTAGATCTCTAAGTTTGAGGCCAGCCTGGTCTACAGAGTGAGTTCCAGGACAGCCAGGGCTACACAGAGAAACCCTGTCTTGAGAAAACAAATAAAAAAGCATATAAGGCAAAACAATCCCATTAGTATTTTAAGTAATGGTCTTTTAAATTACCTTTTTTAGAAAAGTTGGGAAGAGTAAATAAAATGTCACTGTTTTGGGAAAGAGAATAAAGCATGCTTTCTTCCAAAGGAAGGGAAAATTTTGAATGTCTGAGTACTCTCTGGTTCTTAACTAAAATGTCAATTTCAATCACATCCTTTTGTTGAGCCTACGGAAGAAAAAAAATAAGTACCTTTTACTTTAAATAACGCCTTAGCGCTTCCTCATTCAGCCAATGGCTCCTGACTCCTTCCCACACCCACTCCAGGCGTTTACACCAGTGATGCAGCTCCGTTCGCACGGCCGAGTCCCTCACTTCCTGTTTGCTGATGTTTATCACGTTTTAAACGATATAACGGTATGAGCGTGAGGTTTTTTACAAAGTAAAACGCAAAAATAACCAAAATGCTGCAGGATTAAATCCAGACAATTCTAGGGTTCTGTAGTGGCTTCAACGAGGACGGCCCCTACAGGCTCGTTCATTTGAATGCTTGGTCCCCAGTTGGTGGAACTGTTTGGGAAGGGTTAGGAGGCGTGGCCTTGTCAGAGGATGAGTGCCACTGGGGTGAGCTCTGAGGCCTAGCCTCCCCCCCCTCCCTCCCCTTCTCTCCCTCCCTCCCCCCCTCCCTCCGTCTGCCTGCAGATTAGGATATAGCTCTCAGCTACATCTCTAGTACCATGCCTGTGTGCCCACTGCCCACCGTGATGATGATGATGATGGACTAACCCTCAGAAACCGTAAGCAAGCCCCAACTGAGTGTTTTCTTCTAAAAGTTGCCTTTGTCACCACGAGGTGTCCCCCCACAGCAATGGAAGAGTAACCTCCTTCCTCATCGAGTCAGAGACCAAGCCACTCAACACCTGCGCACACAGCACAAATTTACCCCCGATTAACCAGCACATGATCTCACCTGTCGCCCATCAATCTCTACCGCCTCTTCTTGAATAACAATTAGCCGTGCACGGGAACCAGATGTCATGGGCCACTCATGAACTAAGATCCTTATAGTGACAATCCCAAAATATTCGTTCTCCTCCAGATTTTCCAGATTTTCGCTCTTCACTATTAAAAAACAGAAGAAAGGAGTGAGATTTTGGACAAAAATTACCATCAGAGCTGCTACTGTGGCTGACAGTTTCTGTGACAGTCACACAGAACGCGACAGCAGCAAGCGCATTTTCTTGGCACCCTTCATGCCTGACCTTAACAGGGTCAGGGTTCTAAGAGCAGAGACAGCTGCCACTCATCAGGAAGGAAGTGCTTGCTGGCTACAGTGGCAGAGCCTCTGCTTCGGTTTCCTGCCGGCTGCCAATGAAGAGTAACAGCACAGACTGAAAGCAAGCCTCAAGGGGGTCAGCCCACGCTCGCTCACGGAGTGAACCGTCGTGGGTTCACCCCCAGGGTCAGTCAGTGAGAGAAGAGCCCGCATCACGCTGTGTGGCTTCACTTTTGACTTCCCCTCTTTTTTGTTTTTGTTTTCGAATGTTCTCCATGCTTTGCACCCAGTGGGTGACTTTTCACAGAGGGGACAGGAGCAGGAAGAGGGCAGGAGGGGTCTACATCCCTCTGTCGTGGTGATGGGGAAATGTGAACATATTTTATTGTACACATGTATGAAAGTCTCAGAATTAACGACAACATTTAAAATAACACAGCCAGGAATAGTGGTGCATGCCTAAAATCCTAGCACTCGGGCAGCTGAAGCAGTACAAGGCCAGCCAGAGCCCACAACAAAACTGTCTCACAGAAAGCGTGTTAAAAGGCTACACGAATGGTGTGGCCATTATAAGGGGTTTATTACTCACTCGAGGGTCTGAGCTCAGAACCCAGCCCTCAGTGGGTGGCTTACTATGGCTCTAAGAGAGGGAGGGGGTCATAAGTGCCCTCCTAGCCTCTGTGGACACCTGCACACACATACAATAAACCTTAAAACATTTTCTAAAGTGACACACACCAATCAGTCTGCCACAAGATGAGCATTTAGTGGCTGCCTCCCAAATATAAGGACTAATTTGTCAAGGAAACAGACACACATTCTAAAAGCCAATCCAGTGACAAACACATTGTGAGCCTTCAAAGGGCAATCAATCCCTTTGACCTGGGTCAGCTGATACCCATTTCATTAGCCATTTAACAACTACTGTGGTCAGTCACAACCTAGTCTCCCCGTCAGGCCCCAGCCAGAGTACGCCACCGCGGTGTAACTCTGACTAATGCCCGCTCTGGTCCAGCGCTGTCAGCCTTGGGTTCTCTGAGAACCCCCCATCAGGAGATACTTTGTCATGGACTCTGAGCCTTTACCGTGCATAACTCCCTCGTGCTCCCTACTTATCATCCATGCCTTAAAAACCCATTTTACTAAGTGGTTTATAATGTTTGCTGTGGCACTGTGACTGGACCCCAGGGCTGTCCAGAACCTTAAAGAATGGTTGGAGCTGGAACGGGTGGTTAGCATCTGCCTCCACTATGCCATCCAGACTGCTTCAAACCCAAGGACTCCCACCTTAGCCGCCCCAGTAGCCAGGACTGTGGAAATACAAGTTCGATTCCCATAGCACCTGCTTTAGTAAACCAACGTTTTAACTGCCTGTTTACTCACTGGTAACCCAGCCGGGTCAGCAGGTCTAAGCCTACAGCCTAGGGCACATGAGAGTCAACAGTGGGAAAGTTTTATATACATCAGAGAGTAACTCTTTAGCCTGGATCTCACACCCTGACTGTCAGATAAACTCAAACCAACAAAAGCCCCACGGTGACCCCCTCACCACAGTAGTCAGCTTTCAAGGATGCCCGCAACCATGGTTGCTGGCAGGCATGAATACCCTTGCTTAACTCCCTACCTCAGAGCCAGCTGGGCCCAGTGACTGCTTCTCACAAGTCACAAAACATAATAGTATCTGACTCTTTAAACAACCTTAAAGTTTAAAAAAGCAAACAGGGCCTGAAGAGACAGTGCCTGGACCAGTTCTCAGAGCCCACACGGCAGCTCCCACTGCCCCCTGCTCCACTTCCAGGGTCTAACACCCTCTTGTGGCCTCCTGGGACACCAGGCACACAGGTGCTGCAGACACACATGCAGACACAACACCATACACATAAAAACAAAATGCATCTTAGGAAAGCACGTTCTGTTGGCAGGTCAGTAAACGAAACTAAGTAGGACCCATGCACACAATCAGCATCTGTCTATCTTCTGCAATTGGGATGGGAACGTCTGCAGGGTTTGAGCTCCTTCCTGCTAGCCCACATCTGTGCCCACTCTTACACTTTAACCTACCGGGAACTAGATGCCAGTCTCATGACGGAACAAGCAAACAGAGTATCAACAATCGACAGCTGAAATGCCTTAGTTGAAGCTATCATTTCTAGCATTACAGACACAACCTGTCACTTTAAGGTGGAATGTTAGCAATCCAGTACTAACTTAGCAGTATTACAGAGGGAGCAATGTTGGAAAAGTATTCGTACTCACCTATCAAAGTCTGACAGCTTATTCGGGTTACACCACTATTTACAGGTAAGTCATTTACATATACCTGTCCACTCTCATAGGTTATGTTAAGAACCACCTTAAAACAAAGCAGCACATACATTAATTCCAACAGTTCATAAACGACAACAAACTCTTCATGCCAAAAATACATTGCCCAACCATGTGTGGCAGGTGTGATACTTTAGATATGCTTTGCCCCTCAAGGATTCATGTGCTGGAGGCTTAGTCTCTCAGCGCCACGGTCCGGTGGGGACCTCTAGGATGTGAACCTTAGTGGCAGCTGTGTAATCTCTGGGGCAGTGTCTTCACAGGGCCCATGGGACTCCGGTCTCTCTCCTATTTGGTATCTGGCAATGTGCACTGTGATTCTCCTGTGAGCTCCTCTCATTGTGGTACCATTTGCCAGGAGGCGAGCGACAAACTGAGGCCAGCAATATGCCCTTGCTCCTCTCCAACTAAGTGAAAGACAAACAAAAGCCTTTTGGGTTTTGTTTGAGGCTTCTTCTTTAGTTTGGCTTCCTTTTTAGATTTTTATTTATTTTTATTTTATTTGTAATGGATGCTTCGCCATGCATGTATGTCTGTGCACGTTACGTGTGTCGTGCCTAAGAGGCAAAGAGGGTACTAGCTGGTCTGGAACGGCAGTCACATGTTGAAGGCTCTGCTGATGCGTGGGAGAAGGCACAATGCCCCTCTAAACTGCTCAGCGGAGTCAGTAATGGTCCCGGGACAGGGACTTGGGAGAGCTCTGGGTTTCTCTGTGCAGCCTCGGCTGTCCTAGAACTCATTTTTGTAGACCAGGCTAGCCTTGAACTCACAGAGATCCGCCTGCTTCCGCCTCCCAAGTCCTGGGTTAAAAGGTGTGCGCCACCACCACCCAGCCAATACTCTACTTAATAAGTTTGCCTGGCATAAGACATAGCTTTATGCAAGACCTCCTGATCCCAACTTTCCTATCTTCTTTATCTGCTCATCTCCCTTACGACCCTATCACCAAAGAATGACCGGCTGGTCCAGGTCAGTTACGGACAGTTGTGAGGTGCATGTGGGTACTGGGACTCAAACCTGGCTCTTCTGCAAGAGCAGCCAGTGCTTTTAACCCCCGGGCCATCTTCTCGGACCTTCAATTTTGGTGTCTTAAGACAGTGTCACTACTTAAGAAGTCTGGGTTGACTTTTAACTTAAGATAAGCCTTCTGCCTCAGCCTCCAAAGTGCTAGGATTACAGGCATGAGCTGCTATTCCCAGCCTCATTAGCAAAGTGGGCAACCAGGTCAGTTATAGCCTGACACGGCTATTTCTTCATAAAGTAGCCTGCCTCAGGCATTTCACCGTAATAACACAAAATGGACTATTTACAATCAGGAAAAATCCCTGGCTAAATGTTACGCTAAAAATATAGTCAAGAGGAGACAGACCTGTTCTTTCGACACCTCCCCGTTGTCTCTCAGGGTAGTTACATTGATTCTGACGCCATCCTGTAAAACAAACGTATAGGTTGGGTGGGTGCACATTTACAGACTGCAAATAACCCAGCTCTTTAGACAGCTGACTTGCTATCATTGTATGTGTACACGAGCTGCCATGGTGCATGTGTGGAGGTCAGAGGACAACTGTTGGGAGTCCGTTCTCTCCCTGTACCTTTGGGTTCTGGGGATCAAACTCCGGTCGTTAGGCTTGTTAGCAGTGTCTTCACTTGCCGAACCACTTACCCGGAGAATAACCAACTCCTTCTTCATGTCTTCTGTTACTACTATTATTATTAAAGGTTTATTTATTAATTTATTATGCACACAGTGTTCTCCCTGCACCAGATCTCACTACAGATGGTTGTAAGCCACCATGTGGCTGTTGGGAATTGAACTCAGGACCTCTGGAAGAGCAGTAGTGATCTTAAGCTCTGAGCCATCTCTCCAACTCGTTATTTTTAAATTTATTTTCATGATTTTAAGTTAGGGCTGTGTGTGCACATAAGCGTGTGCACGCATTTGAGTGCAGGTGCTCTCCCATACCCAAGGCACTGGATCCCAGAGAGCTGGAGTTTAAGCGGAGAATGTTAGTCATGCCCACTACGCCCACCCCACAGAAGAGATCCCCGTTCCGATCTCTGCAACTTTTCTTTCCGTTTTACTGGCTGTGTCTCTTTAAACAATGCACTGCTTAGCTTTACCTGTTTCTGAGCATTACAGAAACAGAGTTTAGGCACTCCCTTCCTTCATTAAAGACACTCGTGTGTGTAGCAACAGTCTCTTGTTCACAAGGATGCGGAAGGATCAGCGGGCACTTACTGTTCCCGCTGCCCGTGGATATCCACTCTGACCCTGCTCGGGCGCACCTCTTGGGTACGTGTCTGGGACAGGCGCTTTTGCTGCTGCGCAGGGTGTCATCAACAGCCATCTACCCAAATACTTGAACGTACTGATGGCATTTTTGTAGAAAAGCACTGCTGGCCACAGGGACCTGGTACTGCCAAGGAAAGCTTTCCTATTAGGACTGGGGATGTAGCTAATTCTATTAGGACTGGAGATGTAGCTAATTGGTCTATATGTGGGGGGGAGCGCTTGGCATCAGGTACCTTTTCCTGCTGAGCCATCTCACTACAGCGTACACACACCCTCAGCCCTTTTGAAAATTCATTTTGAGACAGGGTATGTGAAAGTTACTCCTCACTGTTAAGCTGAGTGGATTAGAACCACCAAGGAGACCTGGGTATGTGCGTAATGGCATCTCCAGAGGTCTAAGATCCATCCTGAACGTGTGGGCAGGACCAGAGCGTGGACCACTTTGGACAGAACATAAAGAGAAAGGGGGGAAGCCAGCTGGGCACCTGCTACCCTTTCTGTTTCCTGAAGCAGGTGCCTCTGCCCATCACGGGAGGATCTGCTAAACAGAGGCCATCAGTCTTCTACGAGCCCAGAGAAAGCCTTCTTTGAGAAACTTTTTACAGCTTCTGCTTTTCAAGAGTTAACAAACACCACACTTACCGTCTTACATCTTATTGTCTGCTTAGCAGTGTCATGGTTTATGAAGATGAAAGATACGGATGTGTTTGCCCTGGGTTCAACGTCTAGCAAGCGCGCGTGCACACACACACACACACACAGGCAAACACGTGTGAGTGTGTATATGCATACATGAATCTTTTTTGATACTCTTGAATGACATCACGTGTTTTAGTTGCAATACCCAGAATGTGTCCCAACTGACACGGTGGCATGTTTCTGTACCCAGAGGACTTAGCGCACAACTCTAAATCTTTGAAAGTGAAAGAAAGGACTGGAGAGATGGCTCAAGGGTTACAAAAGCCCTTGTTGTAGAAACCGACTCCACAAGATTGTCCTCCGACCTCCACTTCTGTGGCGTGCGTCCCCGATCCAACATCAGACAAACAGAACAAGTAAATATTTACAACTAAAAAACTGACATTTATGTCAGTCACTTCTGTACTTAGCGCGTTGCCACCAAAATAGTAAGGTGTTCAATCTCATAAATTTCATGCCCTCTGGGGAAAAGCCTAATTTTATAATCTCCAAACTTCTTCCGAGTATACAGATTAAGAAAGGCAAGTGTCATGGCAACAAGAGTTTAAAAAAAAAAAATGGGCTGCGTCTGAATAGCGCAAAGCCACAGTTGGTCACCTGCAAGGTTTGTGACCCAGGGCGATGGGATCCGGTTCCCCAGTGATGCTCAAGCTCATCCCTGATCCTCGATGCAGGGAGGGAGGACCAATCCACTAACATCCAACAAAAAGCCCCGCTGGGGAACCGCCTCGGGCCGGGGAAGGCGCTGGCTCCTAGGCGCAGCCGAGCAGGCAGGCACACGCGGCTGGGTGGCCAGGAGAGCTGCTAACGGGGCGAGCCCAACCTCGCCGGGCCCAGAGCTGGGCTCCGGCCCAGGAAGCAGCCATTGCAGACGCCCGAGGTCAGCGGCCACGGCGCACTTTGGACAGCGGAGCCGGGCAGGGCAGGGCCTGCGGCCGACCCCGACTCCAGGTCGGCGGCCCGAGGCTGGGCGCCCGCGCGCCCCGGGGAGCCTCCCCTCCTGTCCGGGCGGACGGACCCCGTGCCGCCCGCCCGCCCGCCCGCCCGCGGGACGGCGCAGCGGCCTGCCCTACCTGCCGAGCTGGGGACGGCGGCCCGGGCGCGCGGCTGGTCAGCCACCCCGCGGCTGGCAGCGCCACCAACAGCAGCAGCCGGACGCGCAGCGGCGCCCGCAGGGCGCCCTCCATCTTGAACAACCGCGGCGCCGGGCGGCGGGAGGTGGGAGGTGAGGGCGTGGCGGCCCGGGCGGGAGGGGCGGGGCCGCGGCGGGAGGGGCGGGGCCGCGGCGGGAGGGGCGGGGCGGAGGTGGGAGGTGAGGGCGTGGCGGCCCGGGCGGGAGGGCGGGGCCGCGGCGGGAGGGGCGGGGCGGAGGTGGGAGGTGAGGGCGTGGCGGCCCGGGCGGGAGGGGCGGGGCCGCGGCGGGAGGGGCGGGGCCGCGGCGGGAGGGCGGGGCCGCGGCGGGAGGGGCGGGGCGGACCCCTTCCCGAATCCCGAAGGCTAGCTGAGCCGCTGAGGTTGGCGCGCGCCTGTCTGGGCACGCCAGGGGCAGAGGCAAGTTTGGGACAGCCCTCAGGGCGCCTGGCGTTCCCACAAAGTAAGCGCAGTTCTTCTCGATGCCATTCCATTACCTCTGGAGAGGTGTTTCTGTTTTCTCTTCTGTTTCGAAAAGGATCTCCTGCAGCCCAGGCTGGCCGTGTACTGCTTACTGATCATGCGGCTTCCACCCGCTCCGTGCTGGAATTACACCTCCTCAGCCCCGTTACTTTTTCCGCTAGTATGACCAATATGTTCATACATTTACAAAATGAAAACACAGGTAGTATGCTATAAACTTATGAATGAAAAATAAAACATTTGACATCAGGAGGGGGGTATTAATTTTTTTTTTCCAGATTCTCACTATGCAGCCCTGGCTGGCCTAGAACTCACTATGTACACCAGACTGGCATCCAACTTGCGACAGTCCTGACACTTCCTCTTGAGTTTTGAGATTAATGTTAACTTAGCAGTTGCCACCTTTGGCTACAGATGAGAATTTCTGAAGTAGTTTTATAAAGTACTGGGGCTTCTTTATGTTCCCAAATATCTGATTTAATTAGTAGTTTACACTAGGGCTGGAGAAAAGATTCAGTTCCCCAGACGACTCGTGGGTTGGGGTTAAGGATATGGCCCTCCCCTTAAATGTTCCAGTGTACCTTTGGTAGAGAGAAAATGCTCCCAAATGAAGCCCAGTGCACAGATCTCTACACCCTGATCTATTCCTTTGATCTGTTAATTTTAAAACTTTATGCAAATGGCTTCTCAACCACCATGTAGGTGCTGAGAATCAAACCTGGGTCCTCTGTAAGAGCAGCCAGTGGTTTTAACTGCTGAGCCATCTCTCCAAAGCCATACTTAAAAATTTTACTTTTATTTATTGTGGAGGAGGGATTCCGGTTGAGGTGAGAGAACATCATAATGGGGCTAATTTCAGCTTCTACCATGTGGGTAATGGGGATCCAACTCCAGTCATTAGGCTTGGTGGAAAGCAAGCCTGCCCTAATGGCACTGAGCCTCGGGGAAGGGCTGGATAGAATATTTAGGCTGGGGAATAGTAGGAGTGGTTTCCAGATATGAGACTATCAAGAAGCCCTCAGCCATGCTTGGTGATTTTCCCCATGGCTGCTTTCCTCCTGCCAGTGTGAGCCCAATAAACTCAAGGATTCCTCAGGGTGAACTTCAGTGGACCTTAGCAGTAAGGGGTGGATGTTCACAGCTCCCCCAGGGAAGGAATTTTCATAATACAGGACTGCATACTGGTTGAGAAGTATTTGTAGATATGGCCTATTAGGTAGAATAAGAAGGAATTTACTTAGTCTTTCTCTGAAATAAAATCTTTGCTGTGAAAGAGGACACCAAAAACAAACACAACACAAAACACCTTTGAACCCAAAAGTGGATACATCTGCTTTTTATTAGTTTGCTTTTTTTTTAGACTTAATTATTATGTACAGTGTTCTGCCTGCATGTGCACCTGCAGGCCAGAAGAGGGCACCAGATCTCATTACAGATGCTGCAAACCACCATATGGTTGCTGGGACTTGAACTCGGGACCTTTGAAAGAGCAGCCAGTGCTCTTAACTACTGAGCCATCTCTTCAGTCTCTGACACATCTGCTTCTTAAGCAACTGATTTCAGTGTTGTTGCCATCATTTTCACAATCAAAATCTGAATTTGTCCCTTTCTGTGATGCAAAGCAAGCTTGACACTTAAGGGAAATCTGGGACTTGCTCAGTGTCTGATTGCAGTTTTTGGGATGGAGTGAGTCATGGGGCTTTTGGCACAACATGCTTTCCACGGTGTTTTCCATAGTTAGCCAAACTTCCTGTAAGGGAAAAGGGCCAAATGAAGAAACACGCCCTGAGCAGAGTCAAAGAAACACACTTTGGCCCTGAAACCAAAGTCAACTCCCACCCTAAACCTGTGCAGAAAACCAACCAATCCCTGAGCATGAGAGCTAGCCAGTCTGAACTCAAGGACTGAAATCTGACCAGTCTCCACCCTGGAAATCTCCCTGGGAAAATGCCACCCTCTAAGAAGTCCTACCTTAACCCTGTGTCTGTTCAGCTTGTGTCTGTTGGGGCTGCCCGCCTCTGCCACCCTGGCAGAGGGCAGCCATTCTCCTGAATTCTTCCCTTCCAATAAATCTCTTGAATAAGGTTTGGGTGAGACCTTTCCCTGGAGCAGAGACCCCTGAGCAGAGCGGAGCAGGCCTGTTAACACTTTGAGGGAAACCTTCCCTTGGCAAAGCAAAGTTGTTACACTCCTCTCCGGGAGACTGGAATGGAACTGTAACAGCTTCGCCAGGGAAAACCGTCTCCTGCCAGAGCAGAGCTGATACACTGGGGAAGCCTTTCCCTGGAGCAGGGCTTACTGTGACCTGTGGTATTCCTTGGCTCCAGAGTGCCAGAATAACTTTCCATCTGAGCGGTAACACTCAATATTCTTTGGCTTCCGAGTGCCAGAATCCACCCCGTCCATCCCATCAGGCTGTAGGCAAATCTGTAGGAAGTTTTCTTAGTGATTGATTGGGGAGGGCCATCCCTGGGATGGTGGTCCTGGGGTCTATAAGAAAGCAGGCTGAGGGAGCCATGGGGAGCAAGGCAGGAAGCAGCATCCCTCTATGGCCTCTGCATCAGCTCCTGCTTCCAGGTTCCTGCCCTGTCTGAGTTCCTATTCTAACTCCTTCAGTAACAGACTATAGATTCAGAAGCAGTAAGTCAAGTAAAGCCTTTCCTCTCTCACTTGCTTTGGTCATGGTGTTGCATCATAGCAACAGTAACCTACATCTAAGACAATTTTCAAAGTTATCTATAAGTTTTACTTCATCTTTCTGAGAAATTTAGAAGCTGCTTTTACTGTAACCTTATTGTTCATCTGCTTAGAAATGAAAGGTTTTGTTAGTTTTTTTTTTTTTTTTTTTTTTTTTTTTTTTTTGAGAGTCTCACTATAAGCTGCACCTGGCCTGGAACTCTCTTATGTAAACCATGCTGCTAGCCTCTCAAGTGCTAAGATTAAAGGTGTGCACTACCATGCCTGGCTAGAAATGAATTTTATTAGATTCAGTAATAACATGCTATACTCATATAAATAAGTGACTAATAGAAATATTGTAGGGCCAGCAAGAGGGCTCAGCTGGCAAAAGTACTTGCTGTCCATGCCTGGTGATTAAAGCTTGGTACCCAGAATCCACGTAAAGGTTGAAGCAACAAACTGTCTTTACAAAACCATCCGCTGACATGCACAGGTGTGCCGTGCACTGACCCACAGACAGACACAGAATTTTATGCCTTTAAAAAGAAATGTCTTAGTCTTTTCCTGCCCATTGAGTTTATTAGAGTAGTTTCCATGAACATGGGTTTGTTTACAAGGGCATGGACACATTGCCAGTGGTTACACCATTGAAGAAAATGTCTCTCCAATCATTAACCATATAAATCCCCAGGGAGAAGAGGAGTCCTGTGAGCCCTTCCCTTTTATGACAGTGTTTATGGGCCCAAACTTGAGCAAATAATCACAGCTACTGCGAGTTCGGCAATGTTACAGCCATGTCATGCCTGAAGACAGCATTCTACACTGCTCCCTTCTTCCCCGGTGACCCTGGGCCTTGGAGGAGGGATACAGATGTCCCTCTTAAGGCTGCATTTGTTGTATATTGTTGTATGTATAGGTTTTGGCATGTTCTATCCTCAATTTCTTTTTCAGCAACTCATCATATTTGATAGTTTTAATTTCTACTTTGTAAACTTTCTGTAGTTTGTTGCTTTCTAGCTTGTATTCCACTACTCAAATAAAATATAAAGTTAATTCTATTTTTCTGTATTTGTTCAGACTTGCTTTGTGTCCTAATACAAGATCTACTTTAGAGAAAGTTCCACAGGCTGCTGAGAAGTGTATCCTGAAGTGTGTAGATGGAATGTTCTATCTGTTAAGCTCATTTGATCTGTGAGGCCATTCAACCACAATGGCTCTCAGATTTTCATAGATAACCTTTTGGATTTTTAATGTTCCTGTTGAAAACTAAGCTATTATTCTAATGAGCTTGCTTTTGTATGTGTCCTGGTGTTTTTTTCTCATGAGCTCTTTCTTGATACACCTTTGTTTTGTATATTCAGTGTTTTAACCATAACACTATGGTTACTTCCTTTTTGTTCCTATTTGGTGTTCCATAAGACTCTTGAGCTTGGGTATGCCTCTTTCCTTCCTTAGATTTGGGAAATCTTATGCTATGATTATATTGAATTATTATTATATAATATCTAATATATATGATTATATCTTCTTTGTGATGGAGTTCTCCGATGCCTGTAACTTACAGCTTCAATCTGGCTTCATTAATAAGTGGAACATGTTACATGTGTTCTAGCCCTTCTCCCATACCATTCTAAATTATAAGGAGGCCACAGGTTCGGGATTTTGGATTAGACCCTTTCAAATGGGACCGGGCTGTAAATAAAATAAATGTATTTTTTCTTTACTAACTTCTATTCCCTAATTTCCTTGTAATACAACACAACACACGTTTGGTGAATACTTCCAGCCCGAAAATTGTTTAAAAAACAATTAAAAAAAAAGAGTTTACCTTTAAAAAGCTCTTTCTCCCTATCTTCTTGGATATGCCTGTGATCTGTCATATCATGTCTCTGACTTTCACAAGTACACATTAAAAACTACACAAGTTAAAAAATATGTTTGGGTAGATGAGTGTAGGAAACTTATGGAAGCGTGTTACCAGAATGTTAACGATAAGAAAGTTAACAATAAGAAAGTCGGACAGATGGTCGTGGTCACGTGACAGCCACTTCTAGGACACAGACGGTGGAAGGCAGTGGTCCTCTGACCTCCACACTCATGTTCTCCAACAGGCACCCTCCCCATAAGTAACTAGTAAAAACTTTTAGAATAATTATATATGTAAAAGACTGATGCCTATTGCATTCTCATTTGTTGCACAACATTGTTAGGGTTCACCCCAGCCCCTGGCATCCTTATACCCAAAGAGACTGGGTGTCATGGTGGAAGTTCCACCCAAGCCTCCCTCCTTCCCATTTCAGAAAGACCTTCGACTGCTTCAGCTGAAAAAGCTGTTTCACTTCTGCTCATCCATTTATCCCTCTTCGATCTATGTGATGGCGTTTGATGACTAGGGCACCTGTACCTCACTAGTTCATCAGTTAAGCCGCTAAAAGTACAGGCAGGTGTGTCTCATAGGTTTCGTGGTCAGGGATTAACAGGTCGCAGTTGTAACTTCAGAGGTTCAGTTTTCAATTTCCTGATTGTCTTCTGAAAATGATCATGCCTTTTAACGTAAAGCCATAGCCCTTTGCTCTGACACCAAGATGTAAATCTGCTCCAGCTGTCTCACGGATACCTACAAGTTCCTGGGAGGAGTTCTGCTTCAGTATCAAGAAATCTGATGTGGTGAAAACTACCAGTTTCCAGAGCCCCTACCCATTTTCGAGCGCCACTGGCAGGGTTCACTCCTCCTGCCTGGGTCAAGTCGAGCCCACGGAGGGTCCTCCATATAATGACTTCACCGCCTGCCTTCTTCCTCCTCAAGGAACAGGTGCCTGAGGTCTACAGGAGGGCAGCTAAGGAATGCCTCTTCGCTCGTAACACCCGCTGAGTGTGATCCCACTGACTCCCGACCCATCGCCCCTTGTCAACGTGAAGAAGCCTGATGTGCCCCGTCGTCGTCCATATACGCAGCCCGGGATGCGTATCTCCCTCCCCTATCTCCCTGCAAACCCTGCTGGATCTCAGAAAGGCTTCCCCCAGAGATGGCCAAAGCCACTCCCACAGGATATTTATACTGCATCCAGAAAATAGACGTGCGGTTTTCCGGTCTCTCCGGTCTCCGGGAGTGATGCATCCATTAAACGTGAGCTTTTTCTTTTCTACTTTGGTTTGGCTTGGTCTGTTTTGGATTGCTGCATCGGGGCGCGGAAACTTCAGAAACAACTCCCTGTGCTGCTAAGACATGTACAGTCAACACCCGAAGCTTGTCAGTCACTTTTCATGCAGCGACAGATCGCCTGCGGCCTGGCGTTTTTGACGGAGGCCGCCGAGGGCGACGCAGAACCTTCCCGAAGACCGCACGGGGAGCCCAGCAGCGGCGCTCAGCCGGCCGCCGGAAGTTGCGCTTCCAAACTGAGCGGCGGCGCCCGCGGATGACGCGGCGCGCGTCGCACAGCCAGTGACGTCAGGCGCAGGCGCAGGCGCGGCGCGGCGCGGCGCCTGTCATCGCCGGAGGTTGGTGCCCGCGGAGGAGCGGCGCCATGGCGGTCCTGCTGGAGACCACGCTGGGCGACGTGGTCATCGACTTGTACACCGAGGAGCGGCCGCGCGGTGAGTCCCGCGTCCTCCGCGCCCCGGCCCGGCCGCGAACCCGCTGCCAAGCGCCGTCCCCTTCGCGGTGCCCGGCCGGCTCGAGCCGTTTCACAGCGGGCCTGGGCTACACGAGTGGGCGTGCGTGAGAGAGAGTGTGTGAGAGTGTGTGTGAGAGAGTGTGTGCGTGCGTGTGAGAGAGTGTGCGTGCGTGTGAGAGAGTGTGTGTGTGTGAGAGAGTGTGTGTGTGTGAGAGTGTGTGTGCGTGTGAGAGAGTGTGTGTGTGTGCGTGTGAGAGTGTGCGTGTGAGAGAGTGTGTGTGTGAGAGAGTGTGTGTGTGTGTGAGAGAGTGTGTGTGCGTGTGAGAGAGTGTGTGTGTGTGAGTGTGCATGTGAGGGAGTGTGTGAGAGAGAGAGTGAGAGAGTGTGAGAGTGCGAGTGTGCGTGTGAGGGAGTGTGAGAGTGTGTGAGAGAGTGTGAGAGTGCGAGTGTGTGTGTGAGAGAGTGTGTGAGAGAGTGTGAGAGTGTGAGAGAGTGTGTGTGCGTGCGTGTGAGAGAGTGTGTGTGTGAGAGTGTGTGAGAGAGTGTGTGTGTGAGTGTGTGCGTGTGAGGGAGTGTGAGAGAGTGTGTGAGAGAGTGTGAGAGTGCGAGTGTGTGTGTGCGCGCGTGTGAGAGTGTGTGTGCATGTGAGAGAGTGTGAGAGAGTGTGAGAGTGCGAGTGTGTGCGTGTGAGTGTGTGCGTGTGAGAGAGTGTGTGCGTGTCAGGGAGTGTGTGTGCATGTGAGAGAGTGTGAGAGAGTGTGAGAGTGTGTGTGCGTGTGAGAGAGTGTGTGCGTGTGAGGGAGTGTGTGTGCATGTGAGAGTGTGAGAGTGAGAGTGTGTGCGTGTGAGAGAGTGTGTGTGTGTGAGAGTGTGTGTGCATGTGAGAGAGTGTGAGAGTGTGAGAGTGCGAGTGTGTGCGTGTGAGTGTGTGCGTGTGAGAGAGTGTGAGAGTGCGAGTGTGTGCGTGTGAGGGAGTGTGAGTGTGTGTGTGTGTGAGAGTGTGTGTGCATGTGAGAGAGTGTGAGAGAGTGTGAGAGTGCGAGTGTGTGCGTGTGAGGGAGTGTGAGAGAGTGTGAGAGAGTGTGAGAGTGAGAGTGTGTGCGTGTGAGAGAGTGCGTGTGTGTGAGAGTGTGAGAGTGTGTGTGCGTGTGAGAGAGTGTGTGTGAGAGTGTGTGTGCGTGTGTGAGTGTGTGTGCGTGTGAGAGAGTGTGTGAGAGAGTATGTATGAGAGTGTGTGAGAGTGTGTGTGCGTGTGAGAGTGTGTGCGCGTGTGTGTGAGATTGTGAGAGTGTGTGTGTGTGAGAGCGTGTGTGTGAGAATGTGTGTGTGTGCGTGTGTGAGAGAGTGTATGTGAGAGTGTGTGTGAGTGTGTGTGTGAGTGTGTGCGTGTGTGAGAGAGTGTGTGTGAGTGTGTGAGTGTGCATGTGTGCGTGTGTGCGTGTGTGTGTGAGAGTGTGAGTGTGTGAGAGAGTGTGTGCGTGTGAGAGTGTGTGTGAGTGTGAGAGAGTGTGCGCGTGTGTGAGTGTGTGCGTGAGAGTGTGTGCGTGTGCATGCATGTGAGAGTGCGTGTGAGAGTGTGTGTGCTTGTGTGTGAGAGTGTGCTGTGTGCGTGTGAGAGTGTGTGTGTGCGTGTGTGAGAGTGTATGCGTGTGAGAGTGTGTATGTGTGTGTGACAGTGTGTGCGTGTGTGTGAGCGTGTGGGAGTGTGTGCGTGTGTGTGAGTGAGTTGTGTGAGTGTGAGAGTGTGTGAGTGTGTGTGTGAGAGAGTGTGCGTGCGTGTGGGAGTGTGAGAGAGTGTGCGTGTGATAGTATGCGCGTGTGTGATTGTGCGTGCGTGTGTGAGAGTGTGTGCGCGTGCGTGTGTGAGAGTGTGTGTGAGTGCGTGTGAGAGTGTGAGTGTCAGTGTGTGATAGTGAGAGAGTGTGTCTGAGTGTGTGCGCGAGTGTGCCGTGTGAGTGTGCGTGTGTGAGAATGGGCATGTGAGTATGCGTGTGTACTGTGGTAGTGTGTGCGTGTGTGTGCGTGCGTGTGAATGTGTGTGTGCGTGTATGAGAGTGCGTGTGTGAGCGTGTGTGTATGATTGCGTGTGTGAGTGTGTGCATTTGAGAGTGTATGAATGTGAGAGTGTGTGTGTGAGTGAGTGTGAGAGTGTGTGAGTGTGTGCGTGTATGACTGCGTTTGTGACTGTGAGTGTGTGTATGAGTTTGTGTGCGCCTGTGTGGGTGTATGAGGGTGTGTGTAGGTGAGTGTATGCGTGAGTGTGTGTCAGTGGGTGTGTCAGTGGGTGTGCATGTGATTGTTGCGTGTGTGAGTGTTCATGTGACTGCGTGTGAGTGCTTGTGTGTGCACACGTGTGTGCGTTAGTGTGTGAGTGTGCGCGTGCGTGAGTGCACGTGAGTGTGAGCGCTTGTGTATGACTTGCACGTGTGTGAACATGTGTGTGTGCAACTGGTTTCCGCCGTGGTCTCCCTTGAAGCACTTTAGTGGTGTGTGTGCATATGTGTGTTCGCGCGTGCGCGTGTGTGTGTGCGTGCGTGCGTGCGTGTGTGGTTGAGGTGAGCCGCATAGGCGATGCCCGAAGCTTTGTCACCGTTTGTCAGGGTGAAAGCGGGTGGGATGCGGCTGGGCGCCGGGAGCGTGGCCCTCCCGTCCCTCCTGGTTAGACGCCCGCGTCTGCCGTGTGGGTCGGCAGCCAGGCGCCAGGGGTCGGCTAGGGTTTAGGCGTCTGTCCTTGGAGCGTGACTTCCCCGGAGGGAGGACGCGGTTTTCACCTGGAGTCGCAGGAGAGGGATGTGCACATGGCTGTGGGAGGCAGAGGTGGGTGGGGTCAAGGTTTCCTTCGCAGTTTGGAGATGAGGTGTGGCTGTATGTGGACTGACACAGCTGGCGCCCGCTTCAGTCAGGTTAGATACCGGTAGGTCAGGGCCTCCGTGGTAGGTGTCTCCCAGTGTCACGCAGTGGAAGGTTTTGGAGATTATAGTAGACACGGTTGCCTTGGAAAGGTCATAGGCAGCTAGCTGTGGGGACCGTCTCCATTGGAGAATCGGGAGGCCGGGAGAGATGGCTGCGACCGCTGCCCACGTCCCTCTCCACTTTCATCCTACCGGGAGCTTCCTGACTGCTCAGATCGCAGATAAAACGAGCTCTTCTGAGCAGGCCTCAGAAGATCAAAGCTAACCTGCTTCTTCTGTTCTGCCTGCGATGGTCTCATAAGTCAATGGCATTCATTTTATTAGAACACATACTTAACTGTCCTGGAGCTATGTGCCTGACTGCCTCCTCACATCAGGAACTGTACCTCAGTATCTCCATTATCTGAACGTGGCATCTGCCACGTTAGAACACGAACCAGTGGTTTGGTGCAGTGAGTAACGCAGAGGAATGTGCTGTTTTACTTAATACACTGTCAAGGGATAGAAGTGCAACTCAAGGGAGCTTTAACAGTGTTCTGTTGCTGGGATAAGCTTGTATTGTTCTCTCTCGAGTTTTCCTTTGACACTCTGCATGAATGGACCCGTTCCCCTGTGCACTCCTGAAGCACAGATGGAGATATCACACATTATCAGCAAGCAGGGTTCCACAAAGAAAGCTTGGGGCAGCAAAACCTTACCTACTTGTGTGTGCAATTTGAAGGAGAGTGATTGGGCATCTAGTTATGTGTATACCTACTTGTCAGTCAATAGTGAGCATATCCACACATCCAGGTTGCTTTTTTTTTTTTTTTTTTTTTTTTTTTTTTTTGCTTGCTGAAAAAAAAATTAAGCAAGCCAGGTGTGGTGGCAAATGCCTTTGATCCCAGTAAGCAAGTTCCTGGACATCCAGGGCTGCACAGAGAAATACTGCTTGGGGAAAAAAAGAAAGAAAAGAAAAACCAAGTAAAGATAATCAGTCAATGAAATGACCAATTTCATTACTGATTGTCAACACATAACTAATTTTGTTTCATTTTCAGCACCCTCTACCTCCACTGGATTTATTTAATCTTAAATTACTTCAGTGTATACTATCTATAAGAGAAAATGACTGAAAAAAAGTATAACTTGAGCCAGGTGTGCTGAGAATTTAACCCAGGCCCTCTTACATGCTAAACACTATAACTTGAGCCGTGTCCCTACCCCCCCCCTCCCAACTACTCTCTGCCAGTCCAACTCTTTCTTTTCAGTCTATGGAGTGATTTCCAGGACAGCTAAGCCTACACAGAGAAACCTTTGAAAAACAAAACAAATTATTTACTATTTAAATGACATAGATAATATTATCAGAAATACCTAGCGTGGTCATTATTTTATGTTTAACTGTAAGGACCTTCATTGTATTGTCTTTCCTGTCAGCTTTTGACTGGCTGTATACCCTGTACTGGTCTTAGGTTTGTTTTTCTCCCAATTCTCCTCAGGCATGTGCCACCATACCTGGTTATGACCCTAGTCTCATAAATATAAAATCGTTGAGGGCAAGGAGCCTCATTACTTCCTGTCTGGTTTCCTAGTGCCTTAAGACCATCCTAGCGTGTATCTCTGTGATTAGGCTATGAGTTCTTCATGGACATGAACCATGATTTCATGACGTTTGTGATGGCAGTGCCAAGCATCTAGAAGGCTGAGTTAGTTACTCCTCTGTTGCTGTGATAAGACACTATGACCAAAGAGTAATTTATGGAAGAGTTTGTTTTGGGTTGCTGTTCCAGAGGTGCAGTTTGTAACGGTGGGGCAGACATGGCTGCTGGACTAGGCAGCTGAAATCTCACATCTTTAAGGGAGCACACTGTGCAGGGAGAGTGAGCTACAAGTGGGCTGAGACTATGAGCACTCAAGCCTGCTCCCAGTGACGGTGTCCTCTGGCAAGGCTCGCCAGTCCTAGACATTCAATAGCTTCCTCAGACAGTGCCGCCAGCTGAGGACTAAGTTCAAATACCCGAGCCTGTGGCAAACATTTCAAACCACCACAAAGGCACACAGGGATCTTTATTGAATGTGCAGGTGAATTTATATGAGAAAGATTAGTCACGGCAAATAAAGATGTTTGCAAAGCCCATCTTTTTTGTGTGTGCTGCTGGGGATTGAACTCAAGGCATCAGGAATGCTTGATAATTACTGTACCTGAGGTATACCCCCCCCCCCCCAGTCTGTGAATTTATTTATTTATTTTGAGACAGGATTTCTCTTATGTAACCTTGGCTATCCTGGAACTCTCTCTACAGATCAGGCTGACATTGAACTACCTCTGCCTTCTGAGTGCTGGAATTAAAAGGCTGCACCGCCACCTCCTGGCTTGACATACTTTTTACTAATTGTAAAACAAACAAAGGTCCCAAAAAAATTTTTTTTCCTAATTTGTATAATCTGCATTCATTTTCATACATCCTGCTATATTTATTTTTGTCATAGCATCATTTGTAACTTTTCCATTAAAAACCAATCTATAAATAAACAATTGTATATTTCCAACATTAGCTCTGATGTCCGAAAGGCAGTAGGAAAATAAAATGGTATTTAAAATATAGTACCTTTTAATTTTTCTTTATTTTTGAGACTTTCATCCATGTATTCTATCCATGTGTACTGTACAGCGAAATATGAGCATGTAAGTCCCTCCATAACTTCTTCCATCTTCATATCGAGCTGGTACTTCCCATGTGCATGGTGTGGAACCACCCACTGCAATATGGTAAACATACCAGTAACTATCCCCTTGAAAAAGAAGATGACTTTTAAAAAGGTCCAGTGCCCCTTCTTATGGCTTTGGACTTACTTTTTTCCTCTTAAGATGTATTTATTGTTTGCATGTGAATGAGTGTGTACCTCAGAATGCTTACAGGGTCAGAGGACAGCTTTTGGGAGTTGGTTCTCTGTTTCTGACATAAAGTTCTTGAAACTGAACTTAGATTTTCAGCTTTGGCATCAAGCACCTTTACCTACTGAGCCATCTCACCAGAACCTTGTTTTTCTTTTAATAAAAATGTGAATGTAGAGATTAAATTGTACTAATTTGCTTTTACAAATTTGTTTAAAACTTTGCTTTCTGGCAATAAATTTAGTTTTTACTTTCTTTCAGCTTGCTTGAATTTTCTGAAGTTGTGCAAAATAAAATATTACAATTATTGCCTTATTCACAATGTACAGGTAAGTTGGTAGATACTAATCATGCTCTTTGTTATTGGAAACATCTAGCAAACTATGAACTAACTAGTAATTCTGTGTATTGTAGAGGGATTTTATCATACAAACAGGAGATCCTACAGGGACTGGCCGTGGAGGAGAGTCTATATTTGGGTAAGTTCTTATGTGTGTGTCTTAGTTAGGGTTTCTATTCTGTAATAAAACGCCATGATCACAAGCAGACTTGGGGAGGAAAAGTTCTATTTGTCTCGGGTAACTCTCCATTACTACAGGAAGTCAGGACTGGAACTTAAGGCAGGCGGGGTGGCTTGCTCTTCATGACCTGCTCAGGATGGCCTGACTCTCCAGGCTGAGCTCCCCTGCATCCATCATTAACCAAGAAAATGTCCCATAGACTTGCCATTTCCTCGATTTTGGTTCCTCTTCCAGATAACTTTAACTCTGGCTTATGTCAACTTGATAAAACATCAACCAAAAACCCAACCAGGACAGTATATAAGTATGTATTTAGAGACAGGGTCTTATGTAGCCTAGGCTGACCTCGAACTCAATCTCTGTCAAGCTGAGAATGGGCTTGAACTGGTCTTCCTGCCTCCATTTTCCAAGTTTTGGGATTAGAGGCATGCACCATCATGCTTGGTTTTACATGCTAGCAACTGAACCCGCAATTGTGCATTCTAAACATACATTTCCCTGATTGAGCTCCCACCCTCTTTATTTATCTGTTCTTTGATTGCTTTTGAGATAGGGTCTGGGCTCCCAAACTGCCTGTAAGAAGAAAGGCATATTTAAAACATAGTGGGATATCTGTGAAGACACAGTTACACTGTTCCCGTATCTGTATTTCATTCTGAGAGTGTTTTAAGTTTTATAACTATTGTATACTTTCAGACAACTGTATGGTGATCAAGCAAGTTTTTTTGAGGCAGAAAAAGTGCCAAGGATTAAGCACAAGAAGAAAGGCACTGTGTCCATGGTGAACAATGGCAGTGATCAACATGGATCTCAGGTTAGGACATGGATGGGAGATGAGCTTTGCTTGGGCAGGAGAACTGGAAGGAAGGAGCCAAGAAGTTATCTTTTCAAGTTATTCAGTAATGAGAGATGTACTAAAGGTTTTTTTTTTTTGGGGGGGGGAGATATCAAATTATTTCTTTTCTACATTAAAAGAGGGGCAGAGAGAGACAGCTAGTGGTCAAGAGCGCTAGCTGATCTTCCAGAGGACCCAGTTTAATTTCTAGCATCCACGTGATGGCTCACAATGCTCTGAAACTCCAGTTCCAGGGCATCTGATGCCCTCTTCTGCCTTCCATGGGCATTGTGCACACACGAGGCCACACCACACCTGTGCCGTTGATCAGGGGACATCTGTGCACCGGTTGATATAAACACAGTCTGTGTTTTTTGTTTAATTCTAGAAATAATTGTGCAATAATTGATACAGTAAATGTAAGTCTTGATATGTTCTTTAGAGTTGGACATTATTTCAGAGTTATACTTTAAAAAATATTTATTATGTGCCTTTTGGTCTAGTTTCTTATCACTACAGGAGAAAATCTAGATTACCTTGATGGTGTTCATACAGTGTTTGGGGAGGTGACAGAAGGCATGGACATAGTTAAGAAAATCAATGAGACCTTTGTAGACAAGGATTTTGTTCCATATCAAGATATCAGGTAAGTTTACCTTTACTATCTTAATAGATTAGAATGTTTTAACACTGTGATATTGGACATGTAATAACATGAATGAGACTTATACACATTGGACTAAAATCTGTTTCATTTATTTTTCTGTGATAACATATTCTGACTAAAGTATCTTAAGGCCAGGCGGCAGTGGCGAATGCCTTGAATCCCAGCACTCAGGAGGCAGAGGCAGGTGGATCTCTGTGAGTTCCAGGCAAGTTCCAGGACAGCCAGGGCTACACAGAGAAACCCTCCCTGTCTTGGAAAAAAAAAAAAAGAAAATTCCTCACAAGCATTCCCACAGACCACTTTAATCTAGATTCCTTTTAGAGGTGTCTAGATCCTGTCATGTTGACAGTTGAAATTAACCATCACAACTAGTTCCAGAATAATTCTCAAGTGTGAATTAATATGAGATTATTAAAATCTTCATGTAAAGTAGCTTTTATATTTTCCTCTTGTGCTAATTGTTATATTGGTAAGAATTACTCATTTCAGGTTTTTTTTGTTTGGTTGGTTTTTGGTTTTTTGTTTTTTTGTGTTTTTTTTTTTTGTTTGTTTGTTTTTAGAGCCAGATTATTAAAAAATAGGGCAGAAGTAACAAGGCTTAGAAATTTCCTTTTTTGTTTTTTTCTTTCTTTAGTTTTTCATGTTTGTATTTTGAGTCAGGGACTCACTCTGTAGCCCAGCTTAGTTGGAACTTTGTGTCTAGCTCAAGCTAGCCTCAGACTTGAGAGTCTCTTCTCTTGACCTCCTGAGTGCTGGGGATCACAGATGCCGGCCATCATGCTCAGCTCCATTTACATCGTAGGGTAGTGTCGAAAAAGACACAGAGCTGCTCATTGTAAAAGCAAACTGTAGGCCAGCAATACCCATGCACTGGGGTAAGAATACTTAAGGGTTGAAATCTGTGAAAGTAAGTATGGATTCTGAAATAAATAACATTTGACTTGGATTTATTTTGTAAGGATAAATCATACAGTGATTTTAGATGACCCGTTTGATGACCCTCCTGATTTATTAATTCCTGATCGATCACCAGAACCTACCAAGGAACAATTAGATGTAAGTAGCACTTTAGTGTTGTTTTTTTCTTTTCTTTTGGGATAGAGTCTTACTATATAGCCTTGGCTGGCCTGAAATTTAGCGTTGTAGTCCAGGCTGACCTCAAATTTATAAAGATCCATCTGCCTCTGTCTCCCACATGCTGGGGTTAAAGGAGTCACTACCACACCCAGATAGTAGCACCTTCTTGAATAGGGATATTAAAACATTCATTCCTATTGCTTATCTTGTTTATTACACTAGAGTATAGTTCTTGCCATTTGCTCTCATGGCTTCACTGGCAATGGGTCTTAAGTGTGTATGTTCTTACATTTTCTTCTCCTAGAGCACACTTGATATTTGCTGTCTTTGTATATAGTTTTATATCGAGCCTAAACCTTTTCTTCAGACTAAAAGGGGAATTGTGAGATACCCATCCCTCCTGACCCTGTTGCACTGACGGCACCCGTTTGGTGCGGACATGACAGGGTAGGTTAAGTCTGGGGTCCTGTACCCCAGCTGGAGCTCTTGCTTCCCGTCAGGTCACAGAGAGCAGCCTGGGTGTAAGTGACGCCTCCCAGAATAAAATATATAACCCATATTTTATTCTCCCCTCGTGTATCATAATCTGTGCATCATTATTAGAGCAAGTTTAGAATTCTTTTCTCACCCAGGGATGCTTATATTTGTAGTTGTTTCCATTATTTCCTTAATTTCTCTCTTTAGTTTCTATTCCACCAGATGTCTTAGTTTTCAACCTTAGATAAGCAGTGGTTTGGGAATAGCCTCAAGGTCAAACTGAAAGATCATCTTATAAAAGTGGGGATTTTCTGGAGCCAGGCTAGACCCAGGCATTTCTGTGAGCTGCAGAGAGCATTCCCTTAGGCATCTTAAAGTATAAATTTCAGGTGTTCATGAGGCTTTCTGAATGCTGAATTTAGTTTGGTTTTTAATTCTAAAGTTATGTATTATTTCTATTGAACACTTAGTTGGATAATAAATAGTATCTATATAAACATTTCTTTTGATTTTACAGTAAGTCAGAAGCCAAGTCTGGCAAATATTATAGAATTAATTTAAATAAGTGCTCAGAGGCTTTAAGTTTCTATTCTGTAACATTTAATATGCCAGGAGTAAAACATGGTATCTTTCATGATTCTCAGATTTTTAACTTCTATTTTACAGAGTGGTCGGATAGGAGCAGATGAAGAAATTGATGACTTCAAAGGAAGATCAGCTGAAGAAGTAGAAGAAATAAAGGCAGAGAAAGAGGCTAAAACTCAAGCTATTCTTCTAGAGATGGTAGGATAATTTGGTCAGAAAGTTGTTGTGAAACTCACATTATGCAGTGTATCTTATGTTACTTATGTATGTGAGGGTTTTTTGTTTGTTTGTTTCTGGATTACATTTTTCAGGACACAATAACATGAAAATATTTGGTTCTGTGTTTTTCTCAAATTACTGAGTGCCTTTTTTAAAAACTGGGAGTGAGGGCGCTCGCTGACAAGCCTGACCACCTAAGCTGGGTCAGCAGAGCACACATGGTGAAAGCAGAGAGCCAACTTCTGTAAGTTGTCCTCTGACCTCTGAATGTACATCATGGCATGCGTATGCCCACATGCACAAACATACATCACACACACAGTCACACACAGATAAATGTAAAAACAGAAATTCAAAGTTATAAGTATTAATTGAATTGTGGTTTTCATGTAAGTTTTAAGCATTGTTTATTAGACTGCATTTTATGTATATTGGGGAATAGTTTTTTTGACCTGATTAATCATTTAATTCCCTATAATGAGTCATATCTCTTTGGCTAGCAGGCATACATACAAGCAGAATACTATATACATGATAAATAAGTAAATCTTAAAAAGTGATCTTTGTGAGAGAAGAAAGGACAATGGGACCAGGGAGTATATTCATTCTTAGCCAGGTAGTTTTATTTCATTCATTAATTAATTCTAAAATGCATTATTTTTATTTGTGTGGGCGAATGTTAGGTGTACGTGTGAAGGTCAGAGGGCAGTGTGGTCGCTGGGAATAATTGAACTTAGGACCTTTGGAAGAGTAGGCAGTGCTCTTAACCACTAAACCATCTCTTCAGCCCCCTAGTATCAGATTTTTTAATAGAAAAAAATTTAATTGAAATAAATTTCATACTTTTGAAAAAACTGAGGTCACAAGAATCTAATCTTGGTTTCTTGGAATTTTCTTATAAGCACTCAGAAATCTCATACCACTCCTTTTTTGAACCATATTTAAACATATCTGAGTCCTTGGAATTGAACTTGGGTCATTGAGCTTGATGGCAAGCCCTTGAAATACGTTTTAGATTTGTTTTCACCCTGATGTAATTTCATGATGTAACTTTAGATGGTCCTAGGAAATCAGTGTTGTGGGCTTCGACAAGATATTTGGAATAGAAACTAAAGGGATTGATTTGTATGCTTGATTATTTGTAACTTTAGGTGGGAGACCTACCCGATGCAGATATTAAACCTCCAGAAAATGTGTTGTTTGTGTGTAAATTGAATCCAGTGACCACAGATGAGGACCTGGAGATAATATTCTCAAGATTTGGGCCAATACGAAGGTAATCTCACAATTAATGAGAAAGGATTTGGGACTATCTACGTATTAATTGATTGGTGTGGGTATTTCTTTATTTATTGATTGATTGGTTGATCGATTGATTGATTGGTTGATTGATTGATTGTCATTTTGAAACAGGGTCTCATTTGTAGCCCTGGCTGGCCAGTAATATGCTATACAGACCACGCAGAGCTTGAACTCATGAACCCTCCTACCTCTGCCTTCTGAGTGCTGGAGTTAAGACCCACGCCACTACACTCAGCAGAGGTTTTCTAATTACACGTTTTTTGGTGAGGTTGTCGATTTTGAGTGCATTTAAAAATTTTTGGTGTTTTTTTTTTTTTTTTTTTTTTTTTTGTGGGGCTGAGGATCAAACCTAGGGCATCATGCCTGTTAAGCAAACTCTCTAGCACTGAGACATAATCCCTGTCCTTTTGGTGAATTTCATACTGGTGATTTGTACAGGTGAGTGTCTTAACAGTAGGAAAGGAAAGTGTGTTTTCAGACATGCACAAATTAAATATCTGAGTGATTCTTAAGTTCTTAACACATTTTCACAATGAAATATATGAGTTGAACAATTTGTCTACTTATTTAATATTTAAAATGCTCATCTCTTTTAAATTAGTTCCTAAAATTATTAGGAGTCTGTGTCAGCATTAAAATTTCCAAGTTTTATATATTTAATTTTTAAATTTATCATATAGCCAAGGGTGACTTGGAACTTCTGATCCTCTTGCCTCTACCTCCTGAGTGCTAGGATTATAGGTGGCTACCACACTCAATTTCTGTGGTTCTGTGGATTTAGCCTATGGCTTCTTGCATACTTGGTAAACTCTATCAATTAAGCTATGTGTCCAGCCGCGCGCGCGCACGCGTGTGCGTGTGTGAGTGTGAGCGCGCATGTGTGTGTAAGAACTCTGGAATACAAGTACACTTAAGATAGAATTGCTGATGTACTACTCTGGTCTTGAACCTATCTTCCACACTCATGAGTGTTGGAATTACAAGTTTACCATACCTCAAAACAAAAAGTTGTGACTTGTGGGTTTTATTTTATTTTGCGTGTGCAGGTGTATAGAGCCAGAGGACAGCCTTGGGTCTTCTCAAGCAGTGTCCACTTTTGTTTTGTTCATCAAGTAGGCTGTGCTGGCCACACTGAGTCCTAGAGACCCTCCTGTGCTCACCTTTCTAGGGCTGAGATTATAAACTCATGTCACTGCATGCTCGGGTCTCTGTGCATTGAAGACAAACACTCTATAAACTACCAGACTCCCCCACTTAAAATTGTTTTCTTTTGGTTAATTTTCCCTATATTATAATCATTGGGTATTTTATTTCAAATACTTACTATTTTTAAAAAGTATGTGTGTGTCTGCATGAGTACATGCCACATGTGTGTAGGTGTCCTTGGAGGGTAGAAGAGGGCACCAGATCCCCGAACTAGAGAGAGAGTTGTGAGTCACTATAGAGTGTGGAACTTGGGTCCTCTGTCAGAGCAGCACGTGCTCTTAACCATGGTGCCATCTGTAGCCATTATCATCATCATCATCATTATTTTAAAAATAAAAATAAGCTGGTACTAGCATTTTAGAAAATATATATAGGTTGCAGGAGATGGTTCTCTTTTTCTTTTCTTACTTTCTTTTTTAAAATTATTTATTTATTTATTGTCTTTTCGAGACAGGAACAGGATTTCTTCGTGTAGCCCTGGCTGTCCTAGAACTTGATCTGTAGACCAGGCTGGCCTCAAACTCACAGATCCGTGTACTCCCAAGTGCTGAGATGAAAGGCATGGGCCTCTACTGCCCAGCTAAGATGGTTCCCCTCAGCTCCCCCCTCCCCACCCCCCACCGTGTGGGTGCCAGGGAGTACACTGAGGTCATCAGTCCCAGGAAAAGGTGCCTTTCTGAACCATCTCATGGTCCCTCCCCTATATTATTAATGCAAGTATACGCAAAGCTAGTCAAAGAAGGTTACTTTCTAACTGGCTGACCTGTCCTGTGTTTGGGTTCTTTTTTCATTTAATGGTTTTGGAATGGTTCGTGTGATACTCTGGGAGAAACAAGTTAGCTATTTTCAACTCCACCTTTTTGGCTTTTCCCCTTGATGTTGTTTGGGGAATTACCTCTATGTGGTAACTATATTTACAGTATTTGAGCCTCATTTATTTTAAAACCCAAAGCATAAGCCTAAACTGTGGTGCCTTGTGCCCTTAATCTAAGTACTTAGGAGACAGCAGCAGGCAGGTCTCTATGATCAAGACCAGCCCGGTCTTAGTGAGTTCTACACTAGCCTGGGCTACATAGTGGGTCCTTACATCAAATTCAAGAGAACAAACATACTGAGCACTTATGTATGTAACAGATACTCATTAACTCTTTTATGTTCAGACTAAAAAAGACTATGACTTAAAGATTTTATTGGACATGATAGTGCACTACTTTAATCTCAGGGCATAAGGTTGAAGGAGGAAGATTGCTGTGAGTTTGAGATTCCCTGGGCTTCAGAGTGAGTACCAGGCCAACCTTGGATCACAAGATTTTGGCTCAGAAATGTGAAAATAAATAAAATAATTTTGAAATGAAAAGAATTTAACAGGTTAATTTTGTTAAAAGGAAACCTGCCCCCACCTCCACCACTATAGCCTAGTTTGTGTATTTGCAATAGAATTTAGGTAATTCAGTACTAGATCGATGATCTGTGTGTGTGTGTGTGTGTGTGTATGTGTGTGTGTGTGTGTGTGTATTTAAATAAATTTGTTCCTGAAAACTGCCGTCTGTGAGTTTAATAACTGGCTTATTTTGTTCTGGTCTGAACAAATGGTTTCTTTTTTCTTAATTTTTTTTTTTTTTTTTAAGTGACTTTTCAAAAAATTTTTCTTTTCAGTTGTGAAGTTATTCGAGATTGGAAAACAGGCGAATCCCTGTGTTATGCTTTTATTGAATTTGAAAAGGTATGTCATAGTCTAAATACACCAGGTTCTGTATTTTCTTACTTATTTTTTAAGGATGGGTTCTTGTTATGTTGCCTTGGCTGATGTCATACTAGTTATCTTCCTGCTTCAGCCTCCCTTGTGTCTGATTAGAGCTGTGCACTACTGCACTTGCCTAGAACTTGAGTAGTCTTAAAACACACGCACACAGACACACACAATATGCACACGCCCATCTATGTATATTATTCTGTGTCAGGGGCATTGAACATAGTTTAAGATTAAAGCTACGCATTTAGCTTTGGTTGTAAATGGTGATTACCTGTGTAATCCAAGGGCATGGTATGTAAAGGCAGGTTACACTTAAGAGGCTGAGTACACAGTAGGATTTCAGATTGAGTACATAGTTCTCAACTTATCTGTTAAGGTATGTTATTAACTTGGCCACAGGTCTAGTAAAAATTCAGTCTTTTGGAAAGCAAGAGGGATTTTCAGGAAATGATATTAACTCCTATACATTTGATCTAATTTCACTTTTTTGAAATTTCTTATTGTCTAGATTTAAGTGTACTGAGTGTTTTCATATGCTGTCTTTCTATAAAAAAAAGATCTGGAAACTTTCTCGTTGGGACGGTAGTATAATGATGGATTGATTTATGCTTATCCAAATATAAATAAGCTAATTAATTAGACCCAGCATTGGTTGTCTGCCATGTGTCTGAAAGTACTCTAAAGGCAATAGGCAGAGTTTATGATATTTAGTTCTTTGACACACATGGTAAATAAATGTGGTTATAACTAATTCTTTTATCTACTCCTCTTGGAATTGTTTCTAGCAAGTTGTAAACAGACAAAGAATGTTTCCAAGCATCTAGAAGAAAATAAGTTAGTGCTTGATTGAAATGCATCACTGTAGCCTTCAGATGTCAGAATGGATCTTGAACTCATGAAGTTACCAAGAGAAATATGTCTTTTTCACTAAGGATGTGGCTTGGTTTGTAGGGTGCTTTTTAGCGGTGCAAGAGCCTGGGTTCCGTCCTCGGCGCTGCATGCAACTAGTCGAGGTGGCACCTATTGGTGATCACACAGCACTGGGGAGACAGAGGCAAAGGATCAAGAGTTCAAGCCATATACACAGCAAGTGTGAGACCTAGGGTTAGGGTGTGAGACCCTGCCTCAAAAACAAAACCTCGTAAAGCGAAGGCTCTTGTGTTGCATCGACCGTTTTATATGCTTCTGAATTTAGACAGATGTACTGTGTGTGTGGAGATAGACGGACATCCACATTCCATTTGTTGGTTATGGAGTATTTTTCAGGCTAGCACTGTAGTCAATTACAAAAATATTTCTGCACTGAAACAATGACTATTAGCACTAAGTTGATTTTGAAAATGGCCATAGTCTTACATTATGTCAGATACTGCTGCCAAATTTCCAGGGTTTGGTTTGGTTTCTGATTTTTTGAGATAGGGGTTCTCTGTGTAGCCCTAGCTGCCCTTGAATTACTTCTGTAGGCCAGGCTGGCCTTGAACTCACAGAGATCTGCTTGTCTCTGCTTCCAGAGTGCTGGGATTAAAGGTGTATGCCACCACTGCCTGGCTTGCCAGAGGTTTTTAGTTTGGTCCTAGAGACAACTCCCCACCCCCACCCCCCCACACACACACATACACACAACCCATTCTTTGTGTGTGCTGAACATATGTCCTACTGTTGAGCAAATGTCCCCTACCCCTGCTAAATTACTTTTAACACCAAATTTATGAAGACAGCACTAACTTCGGGGATATAGTACTTTTGGATATTGAGTAACTACAGTTGTAGACTGGCATCAGCCAGTGGGTAAGTGTATGTGTCTTCACTACTCACACCTTCTCAGTTCAAATGACGTTCCCGACCTTTGGCTACTTCTACACTGTACCTCACTAAACTTCTGTTTGCTCATTGAGATTATGGAGATAATAGGTGGAGCCTGGAAAGGTTATTACCAGGGTTAATTGAGGTAGTAGATGCAATGCTTTTAATGTGTGGTATACAAGAAGTATTTGAATATTAGTTTTAGTAATAACAGCCTTTTTGTATTTGCAGTATTTGTTGTGGTTGCAGACATCTTTCCGGTAGACATTCATGCTTGGGTTTTTGTAATCATTAATAGGAAGAAGACTGTGAGAAGGCGTTCTTCAAAATGGATAACGTACTCATAGATGACAGGAGAATACATGTGGATTTTAGCCAGTCTGTTGCAAAGGTTAAATGGAAGGGGAAAGGTATGTTGGTTTATCTTCTTTTGTTGATGTTCTGCTCCAGGGTGTGTGTGTGTGTGTGTGTGTGTGTGTGTGTGTGTGTGTGTGTGTGTACAAGTGCTTTAATTTTGTGCTGTTGATGAAGGGAAACGTTAATAGAATTCAGGTTACTTAGGATTTTATAAAGCTGCTATCTAACGTGTGTGTATATATGTGTTGATGGATGAAAACACCTCTTTAATGTTTGCTTATGTTGTAAACTATTTCAGGGTACCTATTGAAGACATGATCTATTCCTTACATAATTATGACTTAGATGATTTGGTCCTTTTACATGTAAACTTCTTAAACGTTTTGTTTCTTCTTTTGTTATATAAAATTCTCTTCCACTCCTGTTCTACTCAGTTTCTCTTCCCAGAAGGAACCAGTTGCCTGTTCTTTCTATAGCCATTCTTTGTATACATGTGCACATGTTTTTTTCCCCTCTTCATTTTAAAAAGGAAAATTCAAAGAATGCAGATTGTTGTAATTTAAGAAAACAGCTGGAGAGAAAGACGCCGTGCAATAGGGTTCAAGCAGAGGGTTTTTCTTTTAACTAGGGAAAGGGGGCATAGTAAGGGGAAGGGGAGGGAGGAGACCAGCCTCTGGAGACAGGGGCAGGAGAGAGGAGAGACGGGACAGAGAGGAAAGGGAGAGGAGGGGGGGAGGCGGGCGGGGCCCTTCAAAAGGGAACACAGTGAGTGTGCACAGGTGGTGCTCTTAGTGGCTGCAGCTGAGGATATATCCTGTCAGAACCCCAAGGACAGGCCAGTACAGATGCCTGAATGCTAACATTCCTCCTTTTTTATTCATTGTAAAAGATGAGGTAGCGGGTGAGGTGGGGATGAGGCCACCGTGTTCTCGGGACTACTTCCTGCTGACCTGGGGGTATCGTTCGTCTTTGGGGGCGGTGATACTATTATCAGTAGCAACTGTTTCACTGCTGTAGGAAGTGCATCACCCACCAGGTGGCAAAGAGTGAGAAACCCAAGAGCTACACCAATTGATTTCAACACTGTCCTGTTGTGGTAACAGATTCCCATCCTGGAAAACACTGTTATCATCATCATCATCATCTAGAGAGAGAGGTTGGGGGAGGAGTCAGCAAGGACCCAAAATGTTATATAAAATAGGTCAATAAAAGGGACAAGCATGACAGAAAGGACTAAGTGGAGACTATGAATATTATTTAGTTTGAAAGAGAGTTCTTAGCTTTATAAGAAAAATGTAATAAACATATATTTTAGTTATCATTTAACAAGGAAATATTAAAGCTATTCAGGAAATGCCATTCTTGGTGAATCCAAACCGACTCTCTAGGGCTTAAAGCGCCTGATCCTTTCCCATCACCTCAGCATCACCCGGACACGGTTGGTCGTCTTGGGCCTCCAGCTCTATGGTCACAGCTGGTGGTCCTGCAACAACAGCTGGTTAGGAATGGTCAGTGGGTCTCCAAAACACATCCCAACGGGAGCTGTGGCGTCTGACAGGAGGAAGTGACTTGGATCGTGGGCCTGGCTGTGCTGTTTCTCCTGGGATTCCTTCCCTGCTCTTGAAGTACATGACTAATGCTCTGTTGACAGCTTTGTCAACAGAATTGATAGTTTCTCAGTATTTCTTGTTGGGGCCTATAAAAAATGCCGATAAATATCTGGTCTCTGAAGAATTTTCTCCCCATTGTTCCTTCACAGCGGCCTTCACCTCTCCAGAAGCCCCGCTGGAAGCTTCCTCAGTACACGCAGGGTCCCAACCGCGCCTCACCCTTTCTCACCCTTCGTCCTTCCCATTTGTAAATCACGCTCATGTTCAGTCCACTGCTGGGGGGGGGGCATACTTTTCTGTGTTCCACAAAGAGAACTGTTCAGTTCACATTGAATCGTAATGCTGAGGAGTCATCTTCTCTTATGGTTGAAGAAGAAACCTGTTCCATCTGGCTCAGCAGTCTCACCAGAATGATTTTCACTGGCTCTTTGTAAAAGTGATGGCGGAAAGCAGCATGGTCCCTGTCCTTTTGCCAGACCGGCCTCTTGTTTGTGGGTTTTTTTTTTTTACGTGTTGTAATTACGAGGTTTATGGGGGGAAAGTGCATGTCTATTTAGGAGTGGTGTCAGCTGCTGACTGAATGCTGGGCTTGAACAATGTAGTTGGGTCTTTTGTTGGATGTTGTAGTACCCATGTGTGTCGGTAGGTGGCAGCCTATGACGACCAAGGAAAGTGGACATACACTTTGAGCTAAACAGCAGACAGGTTGGTTCCTTTTGTCCTCTCAGTCTTTCTGCTTCCCAGTGTGTGCTTTTACAGGCATCTCTGTGGTCCGTACACTTGTTAGTGTTCATTGTGTGACATTAATTCTTTTTTCCTCTTAATAAATAGGTGGGAAATACACCAAGAGTGATTTTAAGGAGTATGAAAAGGAACAAGATAAACCATCCAATTTGGTTCTGAAAGAAAAAGTAAAGCCCAAACAGGAGTATCCTTTACAAGAGTGGTATGCACAACCATCCGCTGTGTGGGTCATTTGAGAAGGGACAGTTTGTTGTCACAGCTTTTCAGTGTCTCCTATAGACTTTGCTTTTTCATTACACTTTGTGTTATGGAGAAAGTTAAGTTTGAAAGAAACCTTATGCGTGGCACCCAGAGGCAGGCGGAGCTCTGTGAGTTTGAGGCCAGCCTGGTCTACAGAGTGAGTTCCAGGACAGCCAGAACTTGAAAACCTAAGAAACAAAACAAACCAAAAAAGGAAAAAAGATACCTTCCTACTTACCCTGTTCTCAAATGATCTTCAGGTAAATTTATTATTTTTACATATACTAATGTTTTGTTTCGTTCTTTGTTACATAATTAGATTGTTTTTTTTTTTTCTGCCTAATACATTGTCATTTTAGCAGCAAAGATTTGCTAAATCTTTTAGTACTCCTTGTTTAGTGGGAGAGTTGACATTTACAGGATTAAAGGCAAATCTGTTGGCTTGGCCATGTAGTTCAGGTTCTTCCAAGTTTTAAACTGAGACAAGTAAAAAAGCAGTGAAACATACTGTTCACATTATGTCATTTTTATTTGTTTGACTGATTTTCCCATTATAAACCCATCACTCCACACATTGCAAAGGTCATTTCTTTGCCAGTCATGTCTGGTAAATGGCATCTTTGTTTCCTAATTTTTGTTGATGGAAAGAGGTTCTCTTTTCCTGTGTTACATAGGCATGTCTTCTCCAAATATTCATCGAGGAGAGATGAGTATCAAGTATCAGGTCAGCCTTTAGATGGTCATGCTTTCAAATGTGTTGCCTGTCTGCCATGCACAAAGCATTGTTATGTGTTAGTCTGAAGGGAGCTGACAGCATCAACCTAAGATGCTCACAGGCAGCCAGACCAACAAGCTGAGGTCTCTCCTTACAGAAGGAAGGGTGTTAGAAGGCATGTGTTTATTTGAAGCTCAGCATCATAACAGTGTAGACGAATGTGTGCAAACGTGACCTTCACATCCATGAACCACTAGACAGGGGTGTGTGTGTGTGTGTGTGTGTGTGTGTGTGTGTGTGTGTGTGTGTGTACGTACAGGACAAATCAAGGGAGTGTGGCTGCAGAGCATAAAACGTAGATATTACCATGGAGGTTGTTCTGACCATAAGAAAGTCAATGTATTGTTTAAAGTATGTAGCACCAAAATGTTTTGAGTTTACTCCAACCCTTGGTACTATTTTTTTACTATCATTTACTATCATTTAGAAAGTTTAGGAGGGTAGCGTGCATGCATGAAGTTACAGTTACTCAAGATGACGCAGGATTGTATGAGTTCATGATTAGGCTATGATTTAGTATCTTAAAAAAATAAAATCTGTGTCTTATAGTACAATCATATATCCTCTTTTTTCATACTTATGCCCCTCATACACAACTGAAATGAAATTTCATAAGTTTTGTGTTTTTGGTTTTTTTTTTTGTTTTTTTTTTTTTTTCCCTGACAGTGACCGGGATTGAACCCAAGACCTTGCACATATAAGGCAATTGCCCTACCACTGAATTATACCCCAGCCAATGGTGTGTATATATATATATGTATATATATTTTAGGTGCTAGTCTCTATTTCTTATTTATGTGACTTCTAAAATTGTTAGTTATGAACCATAAATTCTACAACTCATTAGTTTGAAGAACACTATATAAAAGAGGAAAGAAAGTTTAAATAATCAAGTAATAACGAGACTGACAGTCAGTCCATCTCTGGCTATCTTTTAGAAAGCTAGAAGGGATGGATACGTTAATTTTTTTGATCTTAAGTGTATATGGGATATGGGCAGGGAAAGCCTAAGCAGTGCCACTGTGAAAACCAACATTAAAAGAAAACAGGCATTAGATTCTGGCGCTTAAAGGACATGTGTGTGTTGACTCTGGCCCCAGACACAACTGAAGGAGCACGTGCGTGTGAGTCTTCCCCGTAGTCAGTCTTCACATCCCAGAGTGCTTAGAGAGAGGGATCGTCCTCATACAGTTTATGCTTTCCCTTATTTATTTTTTCAGACAGGGTCTCACTATGTAGACCAGAGCTCACCCCATAGACCAGGCTGGCCTCAAACTGACAGAGATTCTCCTGCCTCTGCCTCCCAAGTGCTGAGATTAAAGGCGTGAGCTACCACCGCCCGGTTTATGCTTTCTCTTATTCTAAGGCTTTATATTGTGTTAGAGAAATTGCTCATTTCTGATTTAAAACATTTTTATTATTATTATTGTGCTAGGAGCAAACCCAGGGCCTTCTGCATGATAGCAAGCATGCCCCACAGAGCTACACCCTTGGCTCCAATTAAAATTAAAATTTAAGTAGCATATTTTATATGAAATTTAGAAAAGATTTGCTCACTTCTATCGCATATGCAAATGTTGCGTTTTATTTTTTCCTTTCAAGCCTTTATCTTTCATAAAGTGTGATGAAGTTAAAATTATTGTATTGTGTATGTAGGGTCTCACTCTTCTTCCCCTAGGCAAGGCTTTACTTTGTAGCCCAGGCTAGTCCCAGACTAATCTTTTTTGCCTGAGCTATCTGAGTAGCTGGGATTACAAGTATTAATGTTTATAAATTTTTAAGAAAATGTAAATTATGTTTTATGTATGTGTGTCTATGGATAGGTATGTGCATGTGTGATTGTGGGTACCAAAGAGGGTGTTGGATCTCTGGAGCTGGAGTTACAGGCAGTTGTAACCCAATTGGTGTGGGTGCTGGGAATGGAACACAGGTCCTTTAGCAGAGTAGCTAGTACTCTTAAGTGCTGAGCCATCCCTCCTGTCTGTGTGGTTTTGTTTGCTTGTTTGGTTAGAGACTGGGTCTCACCATGTAGCTCTGGCTGGCCTGGAATTCACTACATACAGAAACTCACAGAAATCTGTCTGCTTTATCTCCTGAGTACTGGGGTCAACCATATAGTATTTGACTTAAACTTTTTTTCCACTTTTAAGAAATAACTAACCTTTAAGAAATAACCATTAGTAACTCCTTTTATATTATTTCATGCTATGATACTAAAATGTATTTTATTATATATTATTAAATATTGTTCCCATTTTCTAACAATTAAAAATGGTTCTAATATGTATCTCTGTGTCCACATACCTTTGTTTTGATGCTATAAACTCTTAGAATTTCTGTTTGTTGCTAAATTCTATCCTAATTAACCCGAGAAGAGCCGTGCAATGCGCCTTCCATCTAAAGAGTGTCTCTGGCCTTGGGTTCATAGCACCTTCAGTTTTGCTAGTGCATGACATACCTCATTTTCTAAATTAAGCTTTTTCAGTATCAACAAATATATTTTCATCTCTATTCTACTTACAATTTTGTTCTTGGTGGTTATTGCCTGGTCGATGCCAGGGTCCCTCCCGTTTCTCTTGACCGTAATGAAGACTGTGTTACTTGTTTTAGAAATGTATTCTGTGCTTTCAGAGGTTATTTGAAAGTTACATTTAGCTTTATGGCCTCCCTTGTTTACCATATTTCTTATGTTTTGCTTCCATTATTATCCTAGTTGTCCTTAATTAAATGCTTCAGTGCAAAATATGATCTTATATTAGATGAGCAGGCAGAAGACTCAAAAGCAAGTCACTCACACACGAGTAAAAAGCACAAGAAGAAAACACGTCACTGCTCTGAAGAAAAAGAAGATGAAGAATATATGCCAATCAGAAATCCTAATCAGGTACTTCTTACATTCGGGTTAAACAGACATGGAAAAATCAGTATTTAGCCTCTATCTCGGTAGTGTACTTTAGGAGGTAAGGGATGGTTTTGAACAGTAATCCCCTGCTCTGAGATATAGAATGAACACACAGGATAATGGGCTTTAATTTTAAGGACTGTATCCCAGAGGATATAAATATTGTTTTCAGAGTTATCTAAGTTATTATATATTTCCACATTGTTAGCAAGAGTTATCTCCTTACCTACAGATACTTATTTTCATAAAAAAAAACAAATGTGGCTATGTTGAAAAATTGCTTCTCAATTGCTAGCTTAATTTTAGCACTTTTTAAAGGTTTATTATTATTATTTAATTTATGCATGTCTGTTAAATACATGGTGCTTGCGTTTGGAGGTCAGAAGAGGTTTTGGATCTCCTGGAACTGGAGTTAAAGGCAGTCAGGGGCCAACATTACGTGGGAGATGGGAGCCAAACATGGGTCCTCTGGAAGAGCAGTGAACACTCTTAAACACTGAGCACTATCAGCACTTTAAAAACTTTAAATTAACAAACCGTGTGCATGCATATTTGTGTGTAGTGTATGTACATGGCATGGGGTATGCATGCAGGAAAGCCAGAGGAGGACACTTGGTGTCTTGTTTTCTCTCTCTCATCTTAGGCCTTGAGGCAGGGTCTCATTGAACCCGGAGCTCGGCTGGTAGCCAGCAAGCCCCGCAGTCTGCTCCCATAGCACTGTGGTTACAGGCTTGTGATCTTGCCCAGGTTTTTATGTAGTTCCAGGGATTTGAACGTCAGTACTCCTGTCTGAGGCTCAATCTCTCTAGCCCCTTAATTTTATTTTAAGTCTTCTTACACGTGTGTATTTTCTGTTGTGAATATTCCCTCCCCTCCTTTCCCTTTAGTCCCCTTGTTTTCCTAGGGCCTAGACAGTTTCACTTCTATATTTAATCTATATATACATGACTGTATAAAATGTAGAACTACCAATGAGAGAAAGCTTACACGGTTTGTCTTTCTGAGACTGACTTAATTTTGCTGAATATGACTTTCCGGTTGCACCCGTTTACTACATAGGACATCACACTTTATGGCTGAAAAGAACTTTGCATTGTGGATATTGACATTTTCCTCATCCTTTTCACGGTTGTTAGACACCTAGTTGTGCCCTTAATGTTGCTATTGTGAATGGTGCTACTATAAATATTGACGGTCAACATGTATTTTATATGTGGCACTACTCAATGTTTCCTTTGGTTCTGTTTGTTTATTGCCAGGGTCTCCTGTCATCTAGGTTGGCCTTGAACTTGATATGTAGCGGGAGCTGTCCTTGAATCCTGCTGCCTTCACCTTCTAGTTGGTAGGATGACAGGTGTGAGCTCTTATTCTTGGCTGGCCTTTGAGTCTGTGTCCTGTCTATACTGTGGATATAAAGTAAAAAATAGCACTCATAATTAAACATCACCCCAAAGCTGTCCTAAAACAGTGGCAATGAAAAGAAATCATTTCTAGCCTATTTTGGCTCTTTGAAAGAAAACAAAAAGAAGAAGCCATTCCATCATAGCCCCATGCTTTTCTTTTCCCTTGTCAGTCATTTGAGATGATGCTGGTAAATGAGAAAGGGTTCAGTAGACCAAGGTGAGGGGACAGGGGACACAGGAGCGTGAAAATGTAAAGCCAGGGGCCCAGGTGGAGAGACAGCTCAGGGGAGGCAGAGGCGAGGCTGCTGTTAAGAGTTGAGTGGCATTTCTGAACTGCTTGCCATTGATGTGACCTTGGCAACTTAACTTTGAGTCACAGTTGCCTTTGAGAACGAGATAATACTTCACAGAAAGGTCATTACAATCAGTGCGGGCAAGCGTGTGCAAACGTTTTCTCTATCTGGCTAATGTCATCACTTCCTCTGGCACTGGCAAAGTGCTGCTTTAAAGTCACTTACAGGGGTTCTCCCTGTGGCCAGGACATTAGCTTGGATCCCATTTCTTGTTGATGGATTGCACAAAACAACTTTCTGGTTTATGGTTTTCTGACTTGCTTTGTTTTGAGACAGGATCTCGTTGTATAGCCCCAGCTGGTCTAGAATTCATTAGCAGGTGGCTTCAAACTCACTTGCCTTTGCTTCTGCCTTCCAGGTGCTGAGATAAAATGGTTTGCAGTTTTTAGTCTAGATCACTCCAGTCTTTTAAAATAGTTGTCATATCACGTCTTGTTTTTAGCTACAGGTGTTCAAACCTGCACTTACGTATCTTCAGTGAGTCCAGGCCTGAGATAAGTACTATCTATGTCTGAGATAATCCGGGGGTTAAAGAAGGGCAGAGACTGGGCATGCTTTAAGTCCATCTCTTTCCCACAGCCAGGGGCCTTTTGTTCTACTGGAGGGTTACTTCAGATTTTGCATTTTATGTTTCTGTGCATATATTTCTGTGCAGGTATATATGTGTGTAGTGTATATGGGGTGTGTGTGCATGTGGGGTGTGTGTGCATGTACATACTCCAGTACGTGGAGGCCAGAGCTTCAGTTATTTGTCTTCCTCTGTTGTTCTCCATATTATTTTCTTTGAGACAGCATCTCTGCCTGAGCTCAGAGCTCGGTGATCGGGTAACTTCCCTGCTCAGGAAGCTCTAGGGGTCTGTGTGTCAGTGCTCCTGCAGTGCTAGGGCGACAACCACTTGTCCCCTGTTTTCAGGTGGGAGCTGTGGCTCTGACTCCAGGCCCTTGTGCTGGTGTGCAGGCACTTTATGACCTGGCTGCCCCAGCCCCTGCTCTCCGGTCACTCAGAGCTTTAGAGCCACAGTCTTTTTCTTTTGGTATGCACCAAGGAGGAGGAAATGTTGTTGGCAGTTTTAAAAGACTTGTAAGGGCTAAGGAGATGGCTCAGCAGGTAAGAAAGAAACCCTTGCCAAGCAAATGTGATGACCTGAGTTCAGTCCCTGGAACCTCCCTTTAAACGGGGGGGAGGGAGGTCCTGAGGTGCCACACGTTTGTAATCTCTGCACTCCTTTGTTGACATGGGAAGTGGGAACAGGAAAGTCTCCCAGAAACTGAAGGACCAGTGTGGAACATGCTATCGCAGCTCAGCAGAAAGGACCAGAGAACAGACTCTGTCTCAGCAATGGTGAGAGTTGCTGAGAGCTGTCCTCTGACGCCCACACACAGCCTCTAAGGTGTTTGTAAGTGTGAAAGTGTTAGGTCTGAATTGTCATTTTCTGACCCTTTCCCCATAAGTATATCAGAGTAAGTTTGGGGGTTTTATACTTTGACTTGACAGTATAGCTGTATTAATTTCTTTTCCTTGTAAGGAAGCTCGGTGTTGGTATTTTCTGTTTCAGTCTGAAAGACATGATTTCTAAGAGGAGCTTCAGTACAGGTTGAGTTGTAGGTGTAGCAGATGTCCCTGTGTGCTATTGTTTGCTGGAGAGTTCAGTTCCATGAGGGTGCTTGCTCTGACTTGTCCTTTAAACTGTGGCTTGTTGAGTGGCAGCCTTACTATTTCAGTTCAGAACTTGTCTGTTTAATTTCCACCTTATACCTTAATTCCGTATGTGGTTTTGTGCTGTTGAAGTTTGAGTTTTCCTAGGTTACAGGGGATCGAGTAGTATTTATGGCAGCTTGCCTGCTGAGTCGTCAGAGTGGGTCCCAGGTCTCCAGATGCCCATCTTCTTAGAGGGGGTGAACTGGAGACTGAAGTCAGGGAGTCCCCTAGTGTGTCTACCCTGTGCCTCCAGCCCAGACAAAGCCATTTTTACTGTCCTGACCACAGTAGAGTGTTCCCTAATTCACTTTTAAGGATAGGTAAGTATGATATTTTCTTTTCCTAGAGACAGGGTCTAACTATGTAGCATTGGTTGGTCTGTAGACCAGGCTGGCCTCAAACTCATATAGAGATAGATCCTCCTGTCTCTGCCCCCTAAGTGCTGGGATTAAAGGCGTGTGCTATCAAGCCTGACATATTAAGAGGTGTTTTGTTTCGTTTTTCTTTTTCCGAGACAGGGTTTCTCTGTGGCTTTGAAAGCTGTCCTGGAACTAGCTCTTGTAGACCATGTTGGCCTTGAACTCACAGAGATCTGCCTGCCTCTGCCTTCCGAGTGCTGGGACTAAAGGTGTGCACCACCACCCAGCTTTAAAAGTTTTTTGTTTTTTAATTTATTTACTTTTATTTTATGTGCCTTGGTGTTTGTTTTGTTGTGGGTGTCCAGTTCTCTGGAACTGGAGTTACAGGCTGTTGTGAGCTGCCATGTGGGTGCTGGGAATTGAACCCCAGTCCTCCAGAAGAGCGGTCCTAATTCCAGCCACTTAGGAGTTCAAGGCCAGCCGCAGGGGGTTGTCCATGCCAAAATCTGCAGTATCTATTTCTTTTTTTTTTTCATTTTAGCCTGGCTGACTCACCTAAATCCTCTTCCTGCAGGGTTATTTGAATGATATCTTCTTGTAGAGTTATTAGTGGACTTTAGTAGTTTTACTGCACTTCAGTGATAGGACATTTTGGGGAAGTGGAGAATGAGAAAATGGAGTGTGATTTATGTGATCAGAGCAGTGGGTGTTGCTCTAGGGCTGGGGATGTGGTAGAAGCTGGCACGACAAACCCTGGGCTTGTTTCTCTGACACCATTAAAACAAGAACTGTTCAGAGTTTGCGTGGCTGCCTCAATTCCGTGGTTTTGGATCTGATCCTTCAGCTCATCTGAAATAGATGTAAACCGACTAGATGTTTTTATAGTTGTGAGATTCTAGTATTAGTGGTAGTACAGTGATGCTCTCTTCTGAGTTACTTGTTTTTATGTAGTTTTGGGATTCTAGTATTAGTGGCAGTACACCCTGAAGCCATGAGGACAGGTGACTGAGAGAATCTGAGACCGGAGGGGTGTGAGCTCAGTACTCGCTGGGGCCACACAACATGAACCTGCTTTTTTAAAAAAGGGAAAAAAAAAAAAAAAAAAAAAAAAAAAAAAAAAAGAATTTGGGAGCCTGAGAGAGGGCTCAGCAATGAAGAGCATTGGCTGCTCTTCCAGAGGACCCTAGTTCAATTTCCAGCACCGCATGCATGGCTGTTCATAAATGGCTGTGACCATAATTCCAATTTCAGGAGATCTGACACTCTCACACAGACATATAGACAGACAAAATACCTAGGCACATAAAAATAAAAAGAACTTTGAAAAATGAATTTGACCTGGCACTTGAAAGACAGAGGCAGGCAGATCTCTGTGAGTTCGAGGCCAGCCTGGTCTGCAGAGTGAGTTCCAGGACAGGCTGCAAAGCCACAGACAAACCCTGTCTCGAAAAAACAAAATAATAATAATAATAATAATAATAATAATAATAATAATAATAATTTGAGCTGTTGCAACAGCTTGCTATGGCAGGTTACTCTAGGCTTCATGCATTGACAGTGCTCATAGAGGGTTATTTTACTGACTGACTTTAAAACTGCATTTCTGTGACAGGATATCTACAGGGAAATGGGTTTTGGCCATTATGAAGATGAAGAAAGCTGTTGGGAGAAACAGAAAAATGAAAAGAGAGAACGACGTCAGAACCGCAGTCGGAGCCGATCTCGAGAAAGGGACGGTCACTATAGCAACAGCCACAAACCCAAGTACCAGACAGATCCATTTGAAAGGGAAAGGAGTAGAAAGAGAGACCGAAGCAGAAGTCCAAAGAGACCCAGAGACAAAGAAAAATCTAAGTACAGATAAGCAGGACCAGGGGGAGGTCCGTGGCTAGCAGGTCTGCTGCCGCCTGACCTGGAGCCCTCACAGACTCGCTCGGTCCCTGCTGGCGGCACAGCTAACTCCGCCACAGCCTTCCGGGTTAACCCTGATGGTGTGGGCACTGGGAGAGAGCTGGTGTTTTCTGTGTACGTTTTTATACAAATTGTATTGTTATACATACATGGTAGCATTCATATTAACATCTTTCATATTTTCAGACCTTTTTAAACGGAGCTTTTCATGCCACAGAAGTCCATCAGTTGTATAGAAGACATGAAACATAGTGTAAGAGTAGTGTAAGAGAAGGAGTGTTAGTCACTATGGAAGTTCCACATGCCCCCCCCAGGAATTATCTTCCCGTAGTTGTGTTTGCCTGCTGTTAATGTTATATTAGTCACTATGGAAGTTCCACATGCCCCCCCCAGGAATTATCTTCCCGTAGTTGTGTTTGCCTGCTGTTAATGTTATATTAGTCACTATGGAAGTTCCACATGCCCCCCCCAGGAATTATCTTCCCGTAGTTGTGTTTGCCTGCTGTTAATGTTATATTAGTCACTATGGAAGTTCCACATGCCCCCCCCCCAGGAATTATCTTCCCGTAGTTGTGTTTGCCTGCTGTTAATGTTATATGGTTTTGAATTTTTGTATAAATGATATGTATGTTTACTTCTGTGACTTTTGAAAGAGTTGATTGATTTTTACTGTTAAGTAGTTGTGATGAATGTGGTGCAGTTGACCTGTTGCTCAGCTGGTGGGCTGTTGAGTGTTGTGAGCATGTGTGTGGGGGCGTGGTACTATCTAGCCATATTGTTTGAATTTCAATGCATTTATAACTATGGTTGCTTAATTTATCTGGTATGTGGATTTGTGTGTGTGTGAGCAGAGGTAGCCACAATGCATAGTCCACCATGCAGTCTACCATGAGCTTAGGGCGGTTGTTGCTCCGTTCTCATACACGCCTGACCTCCAATAGGAAAGGCTTCATTGCATCCTGGCTAGGGAGACGGTGGCTCACTTGGTACCACGCTTGCTTCACAAGATTCTCGGGACTACATAACCAGGCCGACAGTGCGTGCTTATATCCCAGCACCAGGAAGGTGGAGCAGGTGAAGCTTCGGGGTTGGGAGATACCTCATCTCAAAAACCGTGGTGGAGAGCAATTAAGGAAGATGCCTGACTTTGACCTCTTACGTCCACGTATGTGTACAAAGTTGTGCATGCACATGCACAGAGAAAAATGGATAGACAACTGCAAGTGTTGTTTGCACAGGTGATTCTAAAACGTGGTCTGGAAAAATGGTGAGACAAACTGGGAACAGTAAGAAGTTGCCTACCGGCAGCTGAGACTTGATGTAAAATAGCTCTGGAATATTGACATGGTAAAAGTTGATACACCGAGCATTTCAAGGGGAAAAATATCCTTTATTGCAAATGACGAGAAGCTGTTTTATTTTTCCTATACATTTGACAGTAATTTTATATACTTATGAAGGTGTAATATATTTTGATATATGTTCATATTCTGGGATGAGTAAATCCATTTACAAATGTTTATCAGCTCACTTTCTTTCTTTGTTCTGGCCAAAGTCTGCTCTCGGGGATTCTGAAATCTATCCCATTATTATTAACTGTGGCTTATCTGCAATGCTTCTCAGACATTTCTCCCTTTCACCTAGTAAAAAACACACACCCTTTGACCCAAATCTCCTTCATTCCTCATCTCAATCAGAGTTCTGTTTCTGTGAAGAGACACCATGACCACAGCAACGCTCGTAAAGGAAAACATTTTGTTGGGACTGGCTTACAATTCGGAGGTTTAGTCCATTATTGCTATGGTGGGAAGCAGGAGGAGAAAGTGCCCCACTGGGCCTGGCTTGAGCACCTGAGGCCCCAGTGATGCACTTCCTCCAGCAAGGCCACACTTCCCAACAGTGTCACTTCCTATAGGCCTACGGGTGTGTGTGGGGGGGGGGCGGTATTCAAACCACATTGCCTATCCCTATACCCTAGGGTCTGAATCATTTCATGCTTGAGTCCAACTTTTATACACTCCTCTCCCATAAAAATGAGGCCACATAGAGTGTGTCTTTCTGTGCCTGGCTTATCTCACTAGTAATGTCTTCTCAATTTATCCATGTTGTTGCAAGTGACAGTTTCCTTCCTAAAGGATAAACAGTATTGGCCCATTGTGTATATGTGACATATTTTCTCTGCATGTTATTTTCTTAGCCAAATAGGTCTAGCCTATGTTTGTAATTAATGAGATGAGCAGGGAGCACAGACAGACAACCCTTCAGCATTCCAATTTAAACCTGTGCTATCTTCAAGGGTCTCCTCACCCAAATATCTCCACTGTTTTCCAAAGTGGCAATTCCCAAAGATAATATACAAGGATTTCCTATTGAGAAGCTGTGGTTTTTACCAGCTGATTTCTTTCTTTTATTATTATGATTTTTAAATAACATTTTATGTGCATTGGTGTTTTGTCTGCATATATGTCTGTGTGAGGGTGTCAGATCCCCTAAAACTGAGGTTTCAGACAGCTGTGAGCAATCATGTGGGTGCTGGGAATTGAACCAGGGTCTATAGAAGAGCAGCCAGTGCTCTTAACCATTGAGTCATCTCTACAGCCCTCTTTCTTTCCTTCCTTCCTTCCTTCCTTCCTTCCTTCCTTCCTTCCTTTCTTCCTTCCTTTCTTCCTTCTTTCCGCCTTGGCTGGCCTGGAACTCCCAGGCCTTTAGCCTCAAGTTTAGAGATCTTCCTGTCTCTGGCTTTCTGAGTGCTAGGATTAAGGGTGTGCACCACTACACACAGCCTCAACAGGTGGTTTTAGTTCATTGTGACATCTAATCATAGCGTTTGTGAAGTACCTAGACTAGACACAGGGCAGGCTTTGATCTGTGTTGCTACTGCTTATATACATTAAGTGGCCATGTTTGTGTCTCAGACTTTGCTTCTGTAGGTTTTAGTGAATTCTTGTCTTCCTTTCATGCTGGCATTGAACTGAGGGTCTGTGCATCCTGAGAACCTTCTGCCACCTACTACACTAAGTGAGCCAGTCTTCACTGATATTTTCCAATGCCTTTCGAAAGGAAAAAAGAATTTAGCAGCAAGTAGGTTTTGTATTAAAAGTTACTTTGGATTCTAAGTTGCTCATTAATATAACTTCATTTTAAGCTTTTAACTTACTCTTTTACCAGAACTTTAATTTTGGCCAGATTTTTAGTAGACTGAGTGAGAAACTTCATGTTGTTTCTTCAGTAGACTTCATATTGTTTTAACAATTGTACAGATTCCTTTAATAAATTGCATTTTGGTTCATGGAAATTTAATCTCATTTGACATTTCACACCGTTGAAGGTTGAGTCACAAAGAATACATAACAGATAGTAAAATCGAAATCTCAGAAGCTTCACCTTTCAGTGGCTGTTGCTAGGAGACCATGCTTTGATGGAAAATTTGAGAGAAGCCTGTGTTTCCTGTTAGAAGAGCATGTGGAGATCCCCTTCATTTTCAGAACTGTCTCCTTTTCTGACAAACAACACAATCATTCTTGCTGATGGGACAATCTTTATTCCTACCTGCCAAGAGTTAGCAATGTTATATTTTGCCTCTATCCATTGTTCACTGAGGAGGCAGATGGGCGAGCTGTTGAGTGTTTTCATGGAGCAATTTTAATATTGCTTAGGGCTGTCAAGTTAGCTCATCGTCCAGTAAAGGCACTTGCCACCAAGCCTGAATTTGACCCCTGGGCCTATATGTTGTCCTCTGATTTCCATAAGCACACTGATACATGAGTGTGTGCGTGCGTGTGCGCGCGCGCGCACACACACACACACACATACACACTAAATGTAATGATTTTTTTTTCAATCTGTATTGCTGGTATTTGCTTTGGATTTCTGGGAAGCTCACAGGAGGTAAGTGTTTGTAGAAAATGAGAAGTTAGAGCATGCTATTCTGCTCCAGGAACTGTGGAACACAACCACAGTGACCTCCAGTTCCTGAAAACAGTTTTGTACTGTTACTTGGTACATGGTGTGGTGACAGGCATGGGTTTTCAGCTGGGAAGCTTGAATCAGAAGCAAAGTCCTGTGTCAGTCGGAAGAGCAGAAAGACCACAAATGATGGTCTGGCCAAAGCGGAGGCCTGTAAAGAGAATAGAAGAGCAAAAGACAGGAGGGAGTGGGAAGCATAAAACCAGGGAGTCTGAATTTGATTTGCAGGTGGTAGAAAATGAGAGCCGTGTTCCTAAGGAAGAAAGCGACACAGTATAGCTGGGTATAGGTTCTGCAACAGGGCTTGGTACCGTCGCCCTCGTGGCTTTGAACAAAACTCATCCCACATCTGTGCCACAAGCAACCCCAAACCAGACTTAATCCAAGTAGCCTTCCCAGAGGCGGTGCAATGTAAGGAAGGCCTGCATTTCTCCAACATGGAATGGGCATCCCACCAAAAACCAAGCAAACACAGCAAATCTGCAGTGCCTGCCACGTAAGCACCGTTACTGCAGAGAACAAATGTCTGGAATGGCTGTAGGTGGGGTGATTTGGGTAAAAGGTCTTTGATCAGTTAATGTGGTCTCCATTCCCTTAGTGGACCACCTCTCATACTGTCTTAGGGACAGTCGCCCTGTCCGAGTCATCTCTACCCACATTGCATGCAGTAGAGAGCCATGCTGTTACTGTAATCTCATCGGATGACAGCAGATATTTTTGAATTCATAAAGGGTGTTTCACTATTACATTGATAATTATCTACCACTCACCAATCAAAAGCACAGATTCATAGTCTTTCCCCCTCGCATGCTTATGGGAAACGACGTGATGCTTTTTACCACAAAACTTGCTTTGTTTCAGAGCCGGTGTTAAATCCCATGCCCACAGCATGGCCTCTGCATGGCTGGACCCAAGCAGTGCCACAACATACACAGTAGCAGATAAAGCTGGTACTGGAGCCACACCACAGGTGTGCTCAGGGCTTCCCGACTGCAGTGGTAGCTGCTTGAAGGAAGGGAATGAGATGGGATGCTTGCTCTGTGGAGAGCCGAAAGTGTGCCCACCATGGTACGTGGAACAGAAACATTCTTCTCTGTCAGTCCTGTATGCTACAAGCCCCAATTTTAAGGTATCGTCAGGACGGCACTCCCTTGAAGGTGCTAATGGTCCTCGTTGCTTGATCTCAAAGAACAAAGCAGGGCTGCTGAGATGCACTGCTGGGCAAAGTGCTTGCCATGCAAGTCTGACAACCCGAGTTTGACCTCCGGGAGCCCTCATAAAGAGCCAGATGTGGTGGCTCACATCTGTAAACTCCTACAGTGGAGATGGGAGGCAGAGATAGGAGAATAACCTGGAATTGCTGACCAGCTAGAAATAGCAGAAACAAGGACAAAGATGCTCAGCAGGGAGGAAGCAGAGAACTAAGGGCCAAAAGGTATCCTCTGACTTATACACACACACACACACACACACACACAGACACACACACGTCATGATATGCATGTACACACATGTGTGTCATGGTAAGCATGTACATACACATGTGTGTCATGGTGTGCATGGACACACACGTATGTCATGGTATGCATGTACACACACACACCAAAAAAAATGTAATGATAAAAACCTTTATAATTTGAGAGAAAATGTCTTTTCAATTCCAGGATAGAGAGTTTTTTGTTTTGTTTTGTTTTTCTAAACAAGATTCAAACAGCATAGACTATGAAGGGAAATCCAATACATTTACTTAGTGTCCGTAGACCTCAAAACGTTATAAACAGAGTTAAAGGTTACATATAAAATTGAACGAATACTTAGGGCATTCACAAAACACACAAAGCCTCAATACATGAAAGATAAAACAGCCATAAAGGAAAGGGGCCACCGTAGGAAAACGGGTCACGGTGTGAGCAATCCTTGCAGCCAGGGAACAGAAGCTGACCTGACCTCACATAAGGGCTTGGCAAGGAGCAGAATGGCTCGGAAACCCGGATGTTGGAAGGATTTGGAGACTGGGGACTCCCACCTGCCTCTGGTGAACATTAACGGAAGGCCGAGAAGAATTTCTGGCCAAGCCTGCGCTTGACTTTGTCCCCGCTGCGCTACGCAGTTGTAGCTCACTGGGGAAACACCACCAAAGACTGCAAGGAGGCGGCCTTTCTGGCCTTTGACTGTCCTGAGCGTCCAGGGCTCTGTGCGTGTTGTTCCTCTTCTGTGGTGAGGGTCCATCCCCACATGCCTACGCCCTTCTGAGACACTTCCTGATGGCACAGACCCCAGCGTTACCAAAAAGGCAGGGAGAAGGCAGAAGTAGCCTTGGGGTAGAGCACGCAGAAGAGGAAAAGGAAGGAGGCTTGCCACCCGGCTCTGCTCAGGGCTCCACAGCACTTTGAGGTGCAGCTCTGCGTCTATCCCCTGCAAGAATGCACGCCTTTCTCACTTGTTTGGTTCTTATGGGGCTGGAGACGAGGGGGGTGGGCTGCTCTTCCCGTGATGGAGTCCGTTGGGGAGCTCTTCCCGTGCAAGCTGCTGCCCTGTCCCCTCCTCTTCTAGA